ATGCCACTGATGAGGACTATCTATGTGAGATTATATAGTGATTGTTGCTACAAGCTACTCCATAGTGATGCACATGAAGTAATCATTAAGCTGCTGTTTCCTTGGATTATCAGAGATAAAGAAAAGTGCGTCAAGCGAATATATTTTATCAAGATTAAACAAAAAGCCAAAGTATAGGAGTAACAGAATGAAGTTTTTATTAAAGTAAGCAATAGTTTGATTTCCAAAGAGAGGGAGTGAGTTTTGGATTAGTAGAGATTTTCTTTTTGATAGCCAAGTTAAGAGAGCAAATAGAGATTTTTTCTTTCTTTCTTTCCATAAGTCCAGAAGGCCACATTATCGCTAGCTTTCAAACCCAAGATGACTAGAACCATAGACTGCATGCCAGAAGACTACACGGTGTAAACCCTCCATGAATAAGGAGCACTCAAGGCTCAAAACTCAAAAATAAAAACTCAATCTCAAAACCATACCACGGTAAGTTCAACGAAAGAGGTGCTTCAACGTACAAAGAGTGCACTTCTAAGTACCTAGGACGAAGCGTTTCGAAAGGGGTGATGACCGTGGAGACATCGGAATATTGAACCTTTGGAGCATCGCAACCATCGAGCTCAGCAGCAAGGGAGGGTTTACGGGCGATTCATCAGCTGTAGAGGCAGAGCCATAACAATAGGAGCATTTCGGGGTGATCCAGTGTAAAGAAGTGCGACCTGTCTGGTTAGTTTTTTTTTGTTTTTTCTTCTTCTTTTCTTGTAGCAGAGTTTGATAGAGTTTGGCGGATAGCGGCAAAGTAGATTTATTGATTATGTTTCTTGTGGCTTCAGGACTTGAATATGTAGTTACTCCAAAGCAGTATTCATTAGTAGCAGACATTGATAGACGTGAGCAAAATCCTTTAGGGGCTTTCCGACGTTGATAAGCATGGGACAGGCATTCACTAGCATTTTCAGGCACTGATGATCATTTGTAGACATTGATAAGCATGAGTAGGTATTTGAGTATTTGTTTGATTGCATTGATAAGCAGTAGCAAGCACCTTTGGAGTATTAGCGAGCAACAGAGATTCTTTTAAGGCTTCACCCCATGAGAGGTCATTATGATAGAGTAAGATGCATCAGGAACCATGAAATAGAGCCAGCAAAAATGTATTTTCTAAAGGATGACATTAGTTATATGTACTTTGGGATCGCCTCCAAAATGACATTGTACCCTTTTCAACATAGGAAACAATAAAAGCATATGAGAATTTTTAAAAGAGATAAAGGATGAAGAAAAAAAGGAAAAAGGAAAAGAATGATGGTCTCTTTTATAGCTTTTTGTTTAAGTGAATCACGTTATTTAGGCTGAAAATAAATGACTCATTCCTCATTTCTCCAATAAAGTATGAATAAATAAATAGTTTGTTCTTTATCTCTTCCATATTAGAACACATCCGAGCATCCGAACGCCTCCTCCCTTTTTTTTGCATATTTTTTTCACAGGCCCTTTTCTTTTGTAAGGCCGCTTGTTTACATAAAGTTGACCTCACGCACACACACATAATTTTTTTTATATTATGATTGCTTCACTTTTCTTATTTTCAATACGCGTTTTCCTATTTTTCTGGTCGTTTTCTTTAAGAATGAGTAAAAAAAAAAAAAAAGTAAGGTGAGAATTAAATGTACAAGGAAAAAAGTTGAGAGGGGACGGCATCTTTAAAGATGCAGCTGATAGTAAACAAAAAATAAGGCTTTTCTCAAAGAGCACTAGGCTGCCGATTCTGTGGAACACATGCAATTGATTCCATTACAGTTGTTATTTGTCAATCAAAGAAAGAAAATCAATCATGATTGATCTATTTGGTTAGCCACTCTAGTTTGTTTCATAAAAGTAATAATGAATTACTATTTTTTGCTAAAAAGAACCAAAAACAAATCGTCCTAACCCTTATGTATCAAAACCTGTTTATCAAGTATGAAACATAGGCGATTGAGTTGCTGACTTAGGGAAGCATAAGGGTTTGTAATGTTTTTATTTTTATTTTTAGTGCACATGAAAAAAAAAGGTAAAATGTTTATCCTCTCTTTTCTGTTGTTATGACCTTATCCTTTTCTCTTCTGCTTGTGAAGTGTAGACCAAAATTGGCGACGATTATAATTGTGAGAGATTTAATGACTATACGTTCACTTTTATAGTAAAGCAATGGATCTTCTAAGTCTGCATAAACTATTTCAAATGGCGCTCGAAACAGAATGGCCTGCTAAGGTACGTGACATACTTCACTTGATGACTTTATTGTCATGGATACTCGCATATCGTGAGTGAAAGGTATTTTCAAATATGTAATTTATTGGGCGGTGAAGAAAAGGGATTTTTATAACCATGAAAAAGAATATAAATACATGAATGCATGAAATGGAGAAAAATAAGCCTTATATGGAGATAAAATAGCAGAGGAACTACTCAATAAGCCCTAGAAGGGAATCTGTTATAGCCTTTACTTTGTCGATCCAATAATTAATACCGTCAAGGATACTTTACTTGTTAACACAACACAAATAAAGGTTTGTATTAGATACACAGAAACTATAATCATGAAATACAGTAGAATTAAGATCAGCCTGCAGTGACTAATTCTATTCTTTCAAATGGAGTAAATAATTTGTCTCTCTTGTACGCTTAATTTATTTTCCCCATTCTCTAGGGGATTCTAGTTCCGTACTATATTGTACCGCCTCGCCCCTTGTAGACCTTTTCGAAAATGAATTGATAAAAGAAATAAGCTTCTTGCTTATCAGTGTTTGAATGTTTTATTTGTAGCCTACTTCAGATATAATCATAAAGAATTGTGCTATACTAAAACCACGACTTATTTATGTGAGCTCTTCATTTTCATGTACCCATGATCCTTATCCTTATTTGATATGTAGTTAAACACGCAAGTTGTATGAAAGATGTTGATTTACAAAAGAAGAAGACAGTCGTAATATGATAAATTAAATATTATATGCTTGTTTTTAAGGGAGACATAGGCCCTTTAGTGGTCATTGCAGGGGAAAAGTCAACTTTTGGAATGCTACCAAAAGTACCATATATACCACTTTGTAAATATTCAACCAGCATGCATAAACTAACGACTGCATATAATAAAATGTTCAAAAGTAAACAAGACATAAATAAAAATACAAAATAGCATTATTGATTGTTTATTTATAAAAGGCAATACTAACAAACCCAAGCGTCTTCCAAAGTTCTTCCTATCTTGAAAAAAAAAGTCAGTACAAGGTTCAAACAAGTGAACAAAACGTCGGTTGGTACATTAAAAGTAGGCCGTCCGCTTCTGACGACCAGCGCCATTAGGTTCTAATACAATACCATTCAGAAGCATAAAGTCCTGAGAGTAAACTACAGAGTACTCAGCACATAGACAAAGGATATCCCTTATAGCAAGTATAAGGTGGTCAGTACAATGAAAGCCCGCTTTCGTCTGTATATATGATCGCCCAACTAGGGCACTGAGTAAGTAATACTTACATTTATCAATAAGAAATTAAAAGGAGAAGAAGAAGAAAAAAGCAAAAAATCCTATACAAAGAAATATATGCAAGTTATGTAACAGAGTATAAAATATCTATATCAAGTACATGGAGTGAAGAATGCTTTGTATCAAGCATCATAAATGATCGCTCAACGCAAACAGCAAAGGTTAGCAGGCTTACTTACAGCTTTCTTAGGTGTTCATACAACTGCTAGCTTCACTACAATCAAGAGCGATAAACTTCGCCTGCTGTCAGATTTCATAATCTACGTTGATTGTTTGGTAAAACCCAATTATGAGAATCAATCACTACAAGAAATATTGAAAGATTCTACAAGGTACCTTGAACCCTGTAATATATGTTGCTGTTTACTACAAAGCTACTGTATAAAGTGATATTTGATATAGTAGGCAATATTAGATTAACTGAATTCTATGAAAGGAATTCAAAAATTGAAGTGGTTTTATTATTTTTTGAAGAGTACTTATTGCTATTTTCATGGCTCATACCAATAACAGAATGATAGCCTTGTAATTGTATATTCCGATTCACATAGATCAGACACTCCATAGGACTCCTGGCCAAGCAGTACTCAGTTTGAACAGGCCAGAGCAACTTTTTTGTCTGCGAATTCTGCGCTTGTATGCTCTTTTATTTAACAAACTGCTAGTCTTGTTCCAAGAGTGAAACCAATGACTAGTTTATTATATTTACATATTGAATTGTTGGGATCATCTAGCTTCCCTTTTAGTGTATAAGGTCAAGAGGCTCAGGGTCAAATTATTTCTTTTTATGGCTATTCAAGGATAAACAAAATAGATATTTATTGGCTGAGAACTTTAAACCTTTGTTCTCTTATTTGCACCAACTACAGATGTTCTTGCTCGCTAAAGATAGATGAGTCATATTTTCAGACAGTTATGTTTTCAAGTTACCTTGTCACCAAGCTTCCTTCTCTCCTCTTCTTCTAATTTCTCGATAAATGCCTGGGGTAAATAACTCTTCTCCATGGTCTATCATTCCACATGGTTAATATTTATGAGTATAGCTATAAAGTATTCATTACCTCATTTTGTACTGCTCCTGGAGGTAAACTCTTGTAAAGTTTAGATTGTAGAGTTACACGGCCGGCATATGCATTAAGTGGCCAGGAAGACTCTTTGCACTTGTACTTTATTAGCAGACTGGTCATATCACTGAGCACATATGAATTCTAAACGCAAAATGTTAATAATCATCTATAAAATTATCAGCATTGACGTACATCACTTAATTCAGCTGAAACCATGTCCTTGGATAACTTGATCTTTTGAGCAATATGGTATAAGAATGATACATTCTCAGCAGTTGCAACACAGCTCAAGAAAAATCGAATATACTGTGCAAATACCATCAAGTCTTCAGTAGTAATAGTAAAATCTGGGTGATGTGCCAGTAAATGTACTAGTCTAACAAGTGAAGAATCCAATACTGTTGATTCAGCTTGCTTGATCTCCAAGGAGGAGAGACGCTTCTGGATAAAGCTGCGGATTTGCTTCAACAAAGATTCTTCAGGTTCATGAGCGCAAATGAACAAAAGAGAATAGTATCTTGGATGGATTTGCTCGGTCTGAAGTCCTTTCATCAAGAACTCTGCAAACTCTAAGCGAACATAGAAACATGTATCTTGCAGGGTGTAACTTAATCTTTCAAATTTAGGAACGGTTAATTCGTTTAAGTACTTGTCATAGTGCGTTAGTTTAACGATGGCTTGTGAAGCACCCAATCTGAGGTGAGATGTTTCTGCAGAGCTATTTGAGGACAGTGTCAGATTATTATGTTCATTATCCCTTGTAGCTTGTTTACTTGGTATTGTCAGTTAATGCACCATCGCAGGTTCTTTCAAGTAAATCCCATAGTATAGAAAATATCTTTGTAATAATATGTTCTTCAGGCTCCACTTCGTTTCTACAAGCTGTTAAGTAGTTTACTAATAGACGAACACCAGTAATTTTCTGTTTGGAGAGCTCTGGCAGTTTATCGTACGCAACCCATTCAGGATTAGATTCAGTGTACTGTACGATATAGTGTAAGACTGCTGAAACATTGATAGATAATATATATATAACAAATTACCGATTTGGTTGGCGTCTTTAAGAGATTTTCTTCAACAAACTTTACTATTAGGTCAATGTAAGATGTCAAAAGTCGAGGAGTATATAATGCAAACTGTGAAAGGCTTGTCAAAGTTGAAAGGAGATTTCGTGCTTTCAATGAAAGCTCATCAGACAAGCTCTCAACTAGATCAGCCATAGATCTATCCGCATTTTTCATATTGCCGAGAATAATCGAAGCAAGGTTTGCTTGACCAACCTTACCATCAATAACATAAGAGCGAAGACGTTTAATTAAGTTGCTATAATAAATAAATAAATAAATAAGTAAATGTATGGCTTCTTCCCAATAAAAGAACTCGTGTTTTCTTACCCATCGTATTTTCTATGACCAGGATTAGACTTGCTTAGTTCGGCTAAAAGTTCTAATTCTTCCTCTGCTATAAAGTTAATATGGATGAAGAACTAATGCTGATGTTATTTACCAGCTATATTATCTTTATCATTCATAATCCCTTTAGTAATTTCAGCCAAACAACCTTCATACATCACTGGATAAGTGAGAGAGATTTCCTTTAATATGCTTTGAGCGGTAAGAGCCTTTTGAGTAAGAGCTGTTTGCCTTCTTCCCTTTGGTTCCTTGGCCATTTTCAACAGATGAGAAATACAAGCTTTGTTTACTATTAGCGGACATGCCCTGTTGATGATGGCTTGGAATATCTCTACAGTGCCAGCTTGATCTTCGTTGAGGTTCGCTATCAATTTATCCTATGTGAATTTAGTATAGTTTTATAACAATCTTTGATAGATACTAACTTTGGATTTGTAAAGTTGCTTGTAATCATGATCTGCACGTATGCTGTTTTTCAAAAGCTTTATATCTCTGCTGTTCTTACGAATAAGGAATGCCCTAAGAGCGTTGAATGTTCTTGGTCGATCAGCAAAATGAGCTTGAATGAAGACGTGAGACAATGATTGATAATAACTTTAATAAATGTACCTGCTAAGTATTTCATGAACTCATCATTGCTGGTTTCCTCATGATCAGCTGTCATACCGTTAATCTAATAAACATGGTTGTTATTTGTATGCAATTATATGTCATGAATGTCATCATACCTCGTCTTCGCACATTCTAACATACTTTTGCAAATCATCGTTAAATCTCTGTTGCTTTCTAATGATTGCAGTAAAGGCTAGCTTTTGCTTTTCTTCTAATGACTCTACTACCGTCACCAGTCTCTCGGTTCTCTGCTGGTCATCTTCATCATATGGAAATATGTATGCAAGTAAAGTATCCTGTAGAGTCATCCTATATGAAAGCAAAGCATATGTTATCCCGCTAGGACCATTGTTACCTTGATATACTTACAGTACGGAAGCATCACCTGTGTACACACGGCTAAATAAACTGTTTGGAATCCAACCCAGCTTCTGAACTGCCATTTTTTCATTTGCTTGAATGCTGGCATAATACTCGTTGTAAATTGAACCCATTGTTCTCATAGCTTGTACTCTTACAGAATTCTTTTTGGGAAAAATTAGATTTTTCAAGCAGAGTCATTTTATCTGGTTTTTACCTTTTTATCCTTGGTTCGTCCATCGACTAATTCAAGCATTGATTTGTCAATATGTTTCAAATCGCAGCCTGCCATGATCTCTCCAATGATCTTACAGGCAGTGGCTCGTACTTTCTCGTCGGGATCTGATAGCTTGAGTTTGATACATTCTATAGGGTCGTTGTGAGATATTGTTACAGTCGTTACAATATGTCATACCAGTAATTTCAGGCATTGATTCGATATGATTTTTATAAATATCAACACACATCTCTAACCACTTGACACGTAACTGCACAAGCTTATCGTCTTTCCTACCAAGCCAGGTCTTCCAGATAGTGGGATACTTTTCAAAAATATTCGATTCAGGATGCATAAATAGCTTTCCCATGGTTTCAGTTGCAATTTGTCGAACATTTGCTTGATCAAGCTTCATCTCTTCTTGCACCAAGGGTAAAACATTCAGCAATAGATCAGGTACGACGGCATTTACTTTAATGATCAAATCGTGAGCTTTTCGCAACTCTTCCAATTCTTCCGTTCCTTCTGCATTACTGACAGAAAGAAGAATATCAGAAAAGTACTGGCATACTCGTCTTTGAAGAATAGGAGCACAAATAGAGCAAACTTCGGCTGCCATTAAATAAGATGGAACAGTTGGTGTCTGTGTATTATCGTGAGCTACCTTCAATTAGCATAGACTGCGTCTTTACCTTTTCGTGTTTAACGAATTGATCCAAGATGATTTCGATAATTTCTTGAGCAGAGGTTCCCACTTCATCAATGATTTGTGTCAAAATATCCGTCATACAAACCTGTACGTTTTTTGGCAATGAGGGGCTTTATAGAAAAGAGGATTAGTATCATCCACAATATGTATAACTATTAGATTTACTTTGATCCAGCTTTAAAGAATTCATCAAATACAGGAAGAGTGATTTCATCTGCATTATCTAAATCAGATATAATAATAAAACTCTTCACTGTAGCTAAACTTTCCAACAAGTAAAAGTGGTATTGGAATAAGCTCTCGTCTTCTTTTCCAAACTGTGACAGGTTGGATACGAAGAAATTGAAAATTTTTTTCAACTGTAGGTTGGAGTAAGGAGCCTCAGGTGCATATAAACGCAGAATGTCGGCTAAACAACAAGCGGCTACTGCAGTTACCATCTTACTGCTATTTTTAAGAATTTGTGTGCTGGTTAAATCATTAGCAACAGTTGAAAGCGATTCAAGGTCAACTGCTCCTTGTTCAAGTTCCTTTAGTTTTTGATGAAGTTCCTGATTGAAATAGTTAGAGCAGAGAAATCTCTTTTTAATTTCTTTTCTACCTTTAAATGTGGTAATAATTCCTGTTCTTTCAAGGCACTTCTTTTGCCTAGAATCGAATGGGAAAACTCGAGTTTACGTAACTCTGAAAGGTCTTGACTATCTTGTACTGAATCTAACTCCATCGACATTTTATTTTCTCTTAAGGGGAGAAGAAAAAAAGAAGCTTTTTACGCGTTACTTTTTATTCACGCGCTGTAAGCTGTATGCGGAATTCTAATGCACCCTTAGTCACAACTCAACTGGGATCCTTTACTGATCTCTTTTTTTAAAACTGAAAATGCTTTCGCGATTGACAGCTTCTTTTGGGAACAAATACATACGTTCAAATACAAGCAACCGGTTATTCCTGAACCAAAAAAGGGCGTTTGGATTTACCAAAAGCATCTCTAAAGAGGCAGCTGATTCGACAAAGGCTGTTAAATTTACCACCAGTACATATAATGATGCCATCAGTCGATTAAAGTCACAGGGAAAACTAGCAGGAAAGATCACCGGATACACTATTTTATCCGTAAGTGCAGCCATAGGTTTGATTTGGCAACTTACGCACTTGTATATCGAATATACTATGGAATCGACGCCAAAAGAACTAGGATTCAAGGGTCGTCAATTGCTCCACGGAGCATATGTTCGAGAACAGTTAGCGCCTGATTATGATATTGCTTCCATGTATATTCGGGAAGTTATCCGTATTGCTTTAGAAGAACAAAACCTGAAAGAGAGCTCTGATACAATTATCAACCTTCGATTACGACTAGCTGAAGACGAGAATAAGTCAGGGAATCTATTAGATGCGATTACCGAATACACCAGAGCATGGAAACTGTTGATGGACAATGGTAAGGGCCATGATCAGCAAACAATCACAGCAGCAAAGAAGATTGGGGATTTATATATGCGAATTGGTGATTATGAACATGCGGAAGAATACCTTGCTTGGGCACTTCATATGTCTGAAAAAGCTAGCCAAGACGATCTACTACAATCAAAGATTAAGCTTTCGTTGGCCAATTTGTACGCTATCCAACGCAACTTTAAACTTTCAATACCTTTATTATCACAACTGTTAAAATCTTTACCAGAAGAACAGCATTGTCTCAGAGCTATTGTGCAGAACCAACTATCAGAAATAATGTATGGCTTGAATAAAAAAGATGAGGCCATGGGTTGGGCTCAAACTGCTCTTGAGACATGTACCAAGGATATAAAAAATCAAGACTGTTTAGAATGCGGTGCTGTAGCGTCGAATAACATGGGAAGGATGTTGGAATTGAGCAGTGAATTTGAACAAGCGTTAGCATATTATAATCAAGCTATAAAATATGCGGCAGACGTGGGTAATCTAACAAGCCATGAAACTTATAGTCTCAACTCAGAAAGAGTTCAGGATATTATTGCAATAAAAGAGACAAAGCATTGAAATTAATCACTGAAACCACTTCTCCCTATCAGCATCTTATTATGAATAGCCACATCAAATTAAATATGAGGGAAGGGTTGGTATATATGCCAGCCAATTAGATCATTGCTAACGTCTAAAGTTAATTTACCATATCGAAAACTAGTCTACCAGAGGTTCCTCGCAGAGTACTGCATAGTTGGTTTGTTTTGGCACAGTGAACTCATTTTAATGTCCGCACAATTCGTCGCTGTGACTTTGACCGCAGTGAAGGTATGAAAGACAGTGAAAGGCGTTTTTTATATTTTTCTCTTTTTTTTTCTACTCCATAATATGGCCGATTCTATTTCAATTGAAGAAACAAAGTAAATAATTGGACAATACTTTTAATACAAGCTTCAACTAACATTTAAATCATAGTGCTTTGCGTGCAAAATTGGGACTTCCTCCTTTAGCTGTAGAGGAATCTGACGAAGAAACAATTGATCCTGAAAGAGAAGCTTATGAAAACTATCAAAGGCAAAAAGAAGATCAAGATAGAGCCAAACGTGAAGAAGAAGCTAAGAAAAAGTCTGAAAGGTAAGAGAAAATAGTATGTTGGAGCATAGGTTTTAATCATTTTATCAGATTGGAAAATCGTAAAAGAAGCTTGGCAAAGCTTCAAGGTAAAGGTCTAGGTGAAGCAAGCGATGATGAGGATGACAGTGCACTTAATTGGGTTAAAAAAAGTAGAACGAGAGAAAGAGAGTTAGCAGAAAAACGAGCTCGTGAGATTGAAGAAATGGACAACACATTCCAATCTGCCAATTATGACGCCTCGCATCTCAGTGGTCTCAAAGTCAGTCATTCTATAGCTGAATTCCAGGAAGGTAGTGAGACCATCTTGACATTAAAAGATCGAAGTATTCTGGAAGAAGATGAAGCTGATGAATTAACAAACGTTAATATTGAAGACAAGGAGCGTGTAAAGAAAAATCTTGAAGCTAAAAAACAAAAACCTGGATATAATCCATATGATGACGACCAGTTTAATGGAAGCAAAAAAAGTATCTTACCACAATATGAAGAAGAGGAACAAAATGAAGGATTTGTCATTGGAAACTCTGGAGTAATAGCATCCAAAGACAACGACTCAAAGGAGAACCAACAAACGATTTCCCAAAAACTGAAAGAACAGACATTAAATTATGAAAAAATGCAAGAAATAAAGGATTATTACACTCAAGAAGAAATGGAGGCAACCTTTAAGAAGCCCAAATCTAAGAAGAAGAAGAAGATGAGAAGAAAGAATAATGATGACGCTGAGGATGTGGGTGTTGCCACCACTCAAACCGCTAGTGATAATACTCCATCTGTAAATCAGTCGATAGCTTCCAGAGTACGTACTCAGGATCCTGATGCTAACTTTGTGGACGATGATGACCTTCAAGAGGCCTTAGCTCGAGCAAGACGAGTGGCCAATAAGCAGAAAAATAAATTGCTCAAGAAGATGACGCCTGAAGAAATTGCAAAGCAAATCCGAGAGCAAGAGGCAAATGAAATGAAGGTTGAAGAAAACGACGAAGGTGGACTTGTCTTGTCTGAGACCTCAGAATTTGTCAGCTCAATTGGTGCAAATATCCCATCATTTGCGGAAGATAAACCGGTCAAGAGAGAGCCTGAGCCCCCAGTTATCAAAGAAGAGCCAATAGATGAAGATATAAGCGTCACATATATTAAACCAGAGCCAGCTGATGAAGATATGCATGAAGCTAATGAAGTTGAAGATGAACCTATGGAAGAAATTAAAGAGGAATCTCCAGTGAATATCAAAGAGGAGCCTAAATATGAAGAAATTAAAGAAGAGCCCATTATCGAAGAGCCCTTGGTGAGTGGTGGCCTTGCTGCTACGCTAGAGTTACTCACTCAGAAAGGTAAAGCAATACCCATAATATGTAAAATAGTAATTAATATATTATTACCATAGGAATGATTGCAAAACCTAACGAAGAGCAACTTAAGCGTGATAGAATAGCAGCAGAACAAATTCGATGGCAAAATGAACAACGAAAGAAAGAACACCGTCGTATGCTTGAAGAACAAAAGGAGAAAGAACGACGCCGAGATCATGGTCGTGATAGAGATTATAATCGTGACAGGATGAGAGAAATGGAGCGTGAAAGAGAAAGAGAACGTGAACGAGAGGAAGCCAAGAGGCTCAGGGAATTTGAATTGGCTATGCAGAATTATAAACCTGAAGTACACTTGGAATACACCGACAACAAAGGACGTGTTTTGAAAACAGCAGAGGTAAGGAAAAGCTCATGGCCGATTTTGCAAAAATATAACTCATTATTTGTAGGCTTTCAGGTTTATGTCGCATCAATTCCACGGCAAGACCTCAGGCAAAACAAAGACAGAAAAGAGAATGAGAAAGATTGAAGAAGAGCATCGATTGAATATGATGAGTAGCACGGATACGCCACTTAATCTGGCGACTGCTTTACATGAAAGACAGAAACGTTCGGGCAGCGCACATGTTGTTTTAAGCGTGGGTAATCGCGGTGTTGTTCCCTCTACAACACCACTAACTGGTGAAAAGCAAAAGCCTGCAAAGAAACAATAAATAACTAGCATCATTGCTTTAGCATTTAAAAAACCAATTTGTGTGTGATTTAACTTTACTGCAAGTATTGTAAGTAACTACTTTGAAATGACTCAAAAATGAAACCATTAGGCATAAGAGGTCAATAAGCCCAGTGGTATTAACTTTGCAAAGGCTAATCGGCTGATTGAGGCAATGTTTTATTGATTATGTGAAAAGAATTACTATCCAAAAAGCAGTTTTGGTGGGAAGGACTGTGGCATATGTTTTGAAAATACAACATAAAGAAAAGGAGAGGAATGGTTGGCAGGAGTAAAGATTAATGCTTTCGAGATGCATGACTGATAGTCTTGATTACTTTTTCCAAAGATTCATACCACATTTTTTGCTCTTCTGCGGTACGAGTTCTGAGAATATGACGGCGTCTAACCGGGCCAGATGCTACCTGTGGCGGTATGGTAGCACCTGAGAAGTACATGGGAGCGACTGCCTCGGCATTTATTTCCGTAGTAACCAGTTCAAAGCCAAAAGCCTCAGTTCCTGGTAAAGAAGTGCTATCGGTAGATTTTTTCCCAATTTTAAATAAAGACGATTTCTTTGTTTCACACATCTTTGTTACTAATGCAGGTGATAGGTATTTTAATTCTGCTCCACGAAGGTTAAGACTTCCTTTGTAAACCAGTTTACGAGGGGCATCCTTCTTGTCTTTTTGTTTTCTGCAAAAGATTAAATGGTCGGAATAAAGATAGTAAGTTCTCACGTCAGAAGTTGCCGTAACATCATCAACATCAACTTTGATCAAGTCAGCGAAAAGGATCAGTCTTCGGTTCAGGGTGACATTGACGGGGCAACCTTGAACAGTTCGATAGACTTCAAGTACCATCAAGTGAGACTGACAGCTTTTTTTCCTATTTTTAAGGGTTACACAATCAGAGTGACCGAGCCAGGTAACACATCTTACCTCTCAGACCATTCTTTATCCAAAGACCTGAAATTGTCAGCGAGCTGGCAAAGGAAGGTAAAATCTGGGGTTGAAGGATCGCTATAATGCTTCAACTGGTGAACCGCTTTTGCATAATACGACGTACGAGTTAATGGTATTTGGAGGTAGTGCATTAAATCGGCAATTTTTAACGATGACTGTCTTTGTTTATTCTCATTCATTTTAGTCTAGATGGCAGTTTAATATTAATTACTGTAACACATACTGCATATATCCATATGTATACCTGCCTCGATAAATTTCGCAAAGGAAGGTAGTCTATAAAGAATGTCTAGTGTCATAACAAACTCTGGATGTTGATTAAAGAAAGTGTTGTATGTGGCAAGGTCTTTGTACTAGATAAAGTTTGATTAGATATGTGATATTTTTGGTAATATTTAAGCTTTACAAAATTACTAAAGACATCAGATATCAATTGAGTTGGACCCCAAATTTTAAATCTATTGTGTGTATAGTGATATGTTAATAACAGTTTAAAAAACCCAAAAAGACGACAGCAATACCTTTCGTTCAGTTCCTTTAAAAAGTTTGAATGTAAAGTAGACAAATGATGGAAAGTCTCAAATAGCGTGTCTAATGTCTTCCTTGCTGGAGTTGATTTCATTTTTACATTAACTTCCTTGTCTTCATTTGTATCTAACCAATCCCGTATACTAGTGGCGTATATTTCTTGAAAATCATAAAATTCATTTACATAGTTGGTCTCTGATTGAATTATTTGACTTATTATTTGTTGTTTATATGCTACATATCTCGCTACATCAAGTACTTGTTTATCTGTATATTGATTAGAAAAACATTCCTCCATGTTATTGTTCTTATACCATTCAAGCCAGTATCATTTTCGTATTCTTCTGAAAGTACGTCATACACATTATCAATAATCGAAAGGTCTTCTACAAGCTGATTGTAATGTTTTGGATTATCTGTTAAAAATGACAGGTTATAAGGGTCTAATATGATGGACCCTGTGGATGACGCTGTGCTGATGGAACATGGTCTGCTTATACTTGAGTTATGTGATGAATAATTATATAACGACGTGGGCTGGTTTCCCTTTTGATTAAATTCCATCATTTACATAAAAAAAAGGATTGGAAAGAAAGGCTGGGAAGAAAGTACCTGATAAAGGTGCAGGTGCGAATTTATTGTAAAAATTTTATACAACACTCCAGTAGGACAAATTTTCCTTTTTTAGGTTAAATGTCGTGTGAGCAAGTAATCGATTCAAACCAATAAAAAAGCCAGTAATAATAGTCAGATGTCAACTAAAATTACGAACATCAGCGATCTTGACCGGCGATCATGCTTTCCCAAGGCATAATTTAACAAGTAAATGAAGTATTTAACTTGATAGAATGCCTGCAGAAATGATGATCATAACTATAAAAATTGTGGTCATAACAACAGCTGCTATAGTCACTGTAGTCATTGTTGAGCTGCCAAGTGATAAGAATAGCTGTGGTAAAAAGCAGTGGTCAGATTGTTGCACCAATGCGTATCACAAAAAGAGTATATCTTATCACACAATACACAGTACTTCCAGCACACAGTGTAGCAGCCAATTAAAATTGATGTCACTGATTAGTGAAAAATGAGGTCGCAGGCTACCGAAATTATTGTCGTTAGCCAATCAAGAACCATTTCGCATTTTCAGGAATAGACGTCGTATTTTTAGAAACCTGAAAATGTTTTTGATAAGAATGGCGGTCCTGAGTCGATGGAGTATATCGTTGATCAGAATGAATTCATTGTTGACACAATTGCGAGTCATACTGAATACTTAAAAAGTGTGGTGTTTAGTGAATCTTCCTCGGCTTGCCCAATGCTGATAGAAAAGCCAAAAGATGAAGGCATTCACATGAAAGAGGTAAATGGCAAGCGTGAGTATGTGCGCTATACCGTTCAGGATAAGGCTAGATTTTTCGATCTGAAGATTGAAAAGTGTATAAGTGCATCAGCTGCAACGAAGCAACTGGGCATTCACATTCAAACTGCGCAGGTGAATTAAGCAGCATAGCATGTATCCTGAGAGTATTTTTGAGGTTTGTAAGCAAGTTGGTCGCAAGTGTATATTTACCGAAGAGTATAAAACGACTGTTGGTAACTTCATTGACTCTAGCTCCTCTACAACTGCTGTTGAAGCAACTGAGCATTTATTGAAGCGTTTCAATGATCTTAAAATTTCTCGTAGCACTGTTTACGATTTCATGAGAAGCGAATGCAACCTTTTGTTGAAAAAGCAGATTTCCATTCTGTTCAAAGAAACAATCCAACGAATATTGCAGAGCGGTGCGATTGGGTATGTAATTGGGAAAATACAGACATGAATTTCTTGACGAATTGTATGCTTCTCGGCAAGTCTGCTTTTGATATAAATATGAAACGTTCAAGGGCTTGGTCCAAAAAAGGCACACGTATTATTGTTACTAGGCCTACAACAAGAGTAAACACAATGTCTATATTGAGAATTACATCAGTTGCAGGCATGGTTACACTATATCAGTCTCTTAAAAATGACTCTAGATGAAATGGACAAGTATCTTATGAAAGGTCATTTTACGGTTATAGATAATGCGTCCATTTATGCACATGAAAACATAAAGAAGTATATTGAGTATCGAGGATACGAATGTGTGTATCTTCCTACTTACTTTCTGGAGCGTAACCCAACAGAACAGTTTTGGGCAGTGGCAAAGAGTAAGGTTAAGCACCATAGGTTTTTGCAAGAAGACACGTTATCAAAAAGGATTATGGAAGCATGCAAAAGTGTGGAGAAAGCTCACTTCAAAAGCTTCGTTTCGCATTCCTTCCATTGTTGGGATAAATGTCGAAACAAAATGCCCATATAATGGTCACTAACGACCTCATTCCACCAATAATGAAGGGATGATAATCAGATAAGTAATATGAATTTTTTTATTGTAAGTTAATTCCAAACTGGCACGTTAAAAAAGCAGACTATCATTTACTATTCAAAATGAAAAGAATATATGAAAGAAGGACAACATTTTGCAACGAGTGACGAGCGGCGAGCAGATGGTATAAATATCTGCTGGCAAAAGGAAGACAAGTAAATGAAGGGCAAAGATGTAGGAATAAAGATACAAAGGATGTATGAATCCAGTAGGAATACAATAATTATGCTCAGGCATTCTTAACCTTCTTTGTGCGACAGTGGGTTGGCGTGAATAAAGTGGTTTATAAGCACTATTCCAGTGCGTAGTCTTTACAATAAGAATAACCAATTAGAGTAATTTAATAATCATCCAGATCATTGTCGTAAATCAGGCACCGAAGCTTTAATCATTACCGTAACAAAACGGGTCATATCGTACCTTGATTTAACCCACATCAAATAGTATAAATAGAGCCCTCTTTTTCATTGTATTTTCCATTATCTCAATTCTCAGGAATAAACAAATTCTCGCAAATACTTGTTTACCCCCGTCTTTTGTCTTTCTATTCTTCAACCAACCTCAAGTTATCTCAGAGGATAGTACCATTGGCACGAAGATTTTTGCATTACTACATTATGGCCATGGCTGGTGTCACACTGTTCTTTTTGAATTCATTGCTTGATAACTCTAGCGCTCGATTTTTACCATATTTAATCAGAAGGTTGATCTTCCGTCCAAAACTGCTTTCGGAAGAGGTGCCAAACACCATGTCGTTATAAAGACGAATGTTCTTGGTATACTCGCTACACGTTTCTCCACTTAAAGTGGTACAGAGATAGAAAAAAGTGAAAATCTCTCTGTTTTGATACAGTGCTCTCTCCCTCTTTTTATTATTCACTTACTCGGCAAGCATCACATCAGTACCGCAGAACAACTCATCCAATATCATTACAACTCGGCGATAAACAGTGGCTTCAGAATCATCATCCTTGCAAGCATACAGATAACCAGATACGTGCTCCACGATCTTCAACATTCGATACATATTGGTATCTCTTTCCTTCCTTTCCAACAGAGGTTTTTTCAATGTATCGTTCACTATGAGCGTCGTATTCAGCTTTGTTATTGAAAAAAGCCATTAAATCGACAACTTATGAATTAGTTTCTTTATTAAGAAGAGCTCAATATTATTAAGTTTGTATGAGAGTTTACTTAGGTAGAGAATCTATGACAGCTATTTATGTTATTGTCGCCAATATGATTAATTATGCTTATGTTTATTTTCTTGTATTTCGATTTTCCTAGTTCACCGCTGCCTTTGGTACGTGACTTATAAATAAGTTGAATTTTACTTTTATGCCCCTACAAAAAAATATATGCTTATATTATTGTTGTTATACTAGTGGTTACTATAGTTATTAGGCCAACACTACATGCACCAGAAAAATTGTTAATAGCCATGTTAGAGGAACTGGAACCTGTAACCTACATTGACCATAAAGTCAAGAAATATGATTTATTGGTTGCACCAAAAGTCATCAGAACGTGATGGCATTACAAGTAAAGGACCAAATGTCATCATTAGTCCTCATACCAAAAAAAAAAAAGAAGTCTAAGAAGAATACCAACCCAATTTTTATCACCTTCAACCCGTAATATTATATTGAGTAGTTAATGTAGGAATTTACTATTGAAGTCGAGTTATGTTGAAATAGATCACCAAGTTGTATTTTGGTTAAACTGCAGCTGGAAATATGTACCAGATTGTTAGAAGAAATGGCTATGCTGCCGAAGCAAAGACTAAGGATGCTGTCATAGGCGCTTTATTCTCAGTAATATAATATAATAAAAAATTGTTTTATTGTTCTCTTTACATTTTTCTAATTTGGAGAATTGGTGGCAGGAATAGGTTCAAAAGAGTCTTTTATACCATAGGAGAGGGACAATCATATCCTTAGTCTTTGTTTCGGCAACATAACCATTTTCAAACACAAATCACTATATATGAATCAGAAAAAGGCAAAGTTCGCACACAAGTTGTACAATATGAAACTGGAATAATCACACGTCGCTGTCATTTAGCCACGATAAGGGTAACAAGAGCTTTGATCCTTATTTCCATTATAGGACTACTTTGCCCTGTATCACATTAACTTAATCCAGCGCTCTTTTATATGAACCAATTGAAAGTGAAATGTCTTTTATATGTCTTACAGGAGAGAAAAGGGGTACGCGACAAGATTATTTTTAAACATGGACTCCTAAAGTATCTTTTTCATGTCATGGATCATTCCCCTATTTTCTTTTTATCAACAACTACCCCTCTTTCTCTTTAAGTCATTATGGGTATTAGAATAAGAGCTGACTCTATTAAATAGTGCTTACATTTACATCTAGACAGCATTATGCTTATTGCACATATTTATTTATTAGAAAAGATAAAAGACCATACACCCGCACTTTTAAGGGGGATTGCTCTATAGCAAGGGGGAAGAACCAGAGGCTTTCCATAAACAAGAAAGCGAAAAAAAAGGGGAAAGTCTATTTCTACAAAGTTTCTACTTTACTACATCTTTCTTTTTTATTCTTTGTTTCATGTGTATCTAATCAAGAAATGCAATCTAGCATAATCGATTTAACAGATCTGATCAATGATTCAGTAACAGAGGATATTGTGGAGACCTTGCGTCAAAGATACTTACATGATTCGCCATACACATCCATTGGTCCCTCAATACTCGTTTCATTAAACCCATATAAAAGTATAAACAATGAAAATAATAAAGCTGCCTATCTATTAGAATATAAAGACACCCAAAGTGCCAAGCTAAATAAATGGCGAGAACCACATTTGTATCAGCTCATAAACCATACCTATTTGCACATGAGAAGGACCAGGGTTAGTCAATCAATACTGTTTAGGTAAATTGTGCTTGTGATCAGTTTAGCTCTTATTAATGATACTGTAGTGGAGAGTCTGGAAGTGGAAAGACCAAGGAGTTTCAAAGCTCTGTTGATTATCTTATTACTTTAAGCAGTCATCGTAAACCAAGCAAACTTCACCCGAGTATTCTTCATGCTCAAGCTATCATCCATGCTTTCACGCATGCGAAAGCAGCTATTCATGACGATTCATCAAGGTCTTGCTTATATTTTGAAATGCACTTTACAGAAAAAGGACGATTTACTGGTGCAAAGCTTTTGCCCTATGCTTTGGAGAAACACCGTGTTACCCATGCCGACCAGAACGAAAGAAACTTTCATATATTTTATTTTCTACTATCTGGTGCGTCTCATGAAGAGAGGTCACGACTAGAGTTGTCGGACTGGTCAAGTTATCAATACTTGTCAAGAACTGCAACATCCAGAGCTTCTTCTATTGATGATGCTCACGGCGAAATCGAGCTAAAGGCTGCTCTTAAGGCGATGATCCCGGAAAAACAAAGAATAGGACAAATTTATCAAGTCTTGGCTGCCATATTGCATCTTGGAAACATACAGTTTGCTGAAGATCCAAACAATGCTCAGGATGCAGCTATTATAAAAAATACGGATACATTGCATACAGTAGCAGATTTATTAGGCGTAGATCCGAATGCTATAGCAAACACACTTACTTACAAGAGTAAACTGATAAAAAGGGACATTACAACTCTATTCTTGAACCCCGAACAAGCCAGTCATCAAAGAGATAAATTAGCCGAATCACTCTATTGCTTGCTGTACACTTGGATTATTGAACAGCTAAATGACAAGCTAGCACCGAAAAACTCTCATTGCTTCATATCCTTGTTGGACATGCCTGGTTGGAGCTCTCAAACAGGGTACTCTGGATTTGATCAATTTACGTTTCATTATATTCAGGAGACGATGCATAACTACATGTTTTCAACCTTATTTGATCAGAGTTGCTATCAAGAGCAAGGTATTGGAGTACAGTTTGATAAACCAATATCCAATTCTATTATGGACATATACATACATCCTTCTAAGGGTCTCTGGAGCATCATGAATGCCCAAGCCTCCCGTCAACAGCAGCGATATGATGACGATCAGACAATAATTCACAACTTTATATCAGCCAATAAAATAGCATTAAACGACCAAACTCTTTCGTTAAAGAAAGAGGATACGGGCCTTCAAGTGTTTACTATCCAGCATTATTGGGGGCCCGTCACTTACAGCCCTTACAACTTTAGTGAAAGAAATCAAGACTACCTTCTAAACGACTTCATATCACTCTTCAAGGGCAATGCTTACAATCCTCCTTCCGCTAACGGTTTAGTAGCAAGTCTATTTGACGATTCAATAATTGGTCAGGACGATGGCACTAGAAGTAGAGTAAATTCACCTTATCAAGCCATTAAGTCTTTAAGATCACCAACCATCGCTACAGGAGAAAGCCATCAAGCAGCATCGTTGAACCAAGACCATAAACCAGCGGACGTGAAGTCTGCACTATCCGTTTCCTTACAACCTGATGCGCCAACAATTGGTCATATCTTAACCTCTGGTGTTTTTGATCTTACCAATGCCCTATCGCACACTCTATCTTGGTATGTCATTTGTATGCGGCCCAATGAACTATCTCTACCAAACTCTTGCGATATGAAAAAATTATCCTCTCAAGTCACATTGTTCAAGCTGCAAGCTTTGATAAAAAGAATGAAGGCAGGCTACCATACAATTTCATTTACGTTCGAGGAATTTTGGGAAAGATACTACATATCTCTACCGGTTACTGTAAATACAATGATAGATCCAGCCCTGTCAGCTAAAGAGAAATGCCGTTTTGTATTACAAGCCCTAGGATGGGATGAGACAATGATGGCAATTGGTGAGAGCAAAGTAAGTATGATATCTTAAGGCTGCAGCGATGTCTAATTTATTTTAAAGGTATTTCTTTCAAATAGTGCTTTTAGAGTGTTGGAAGATGACTTGAAAAGCCTTGAAAAAAATGAATCCAAAAAAGCAAAGTTATCATCAAAAGGTATAAAGTATAATAGACAATGTCTTCAATGGATATAATAGCCTAACTTTCGTGGTACATCACCAGGACAAAGGCCTTTTGATATGTACTCATTTAATGATGACCTTGCATCAACAGCTATGTCAGAAGATGATTATATGGAGGAAGCTGGGTTGCATGGCTACACTGGATCAGACCTAATGTCACAGGCTACTCTTGATAACCGAAATAATTATGCATTTGGTAACAACAGCACTCATGACATGAAGTCAGACACAGAAAAGAAGGCAAATATGCTTCCTGGTGCTGATCCTCAAAAGGAAGTAGACGATGAGCCAATGTCAAATATAAGAAAAAAATGGCTACTGTTTGTATGGCTTTTAACCTGGTGGGCACCCTCTCTCTTTCTTCACCATTGTGGAGGAATGAGTAGAAAAGATGTGAGACTAGCTTGGAGAGAAAAGGTGGCATTGTGTATTTTAATTTTCTTACTCTCGGCTGCTATGGTGGTGTTTATTGTGTTCTTTGGCCCTCTTATTTGCCCTCATCAAGACGTATACTCTGTCTCAGAGCTTCAAGCGAAATCAACTAAGGATAATGCTTACGTTGCTATTCGAGGTGAAGTCTTTGACTTGACAAAATTTGCTCCTCATCACTGGGCGTCAGAGGTGATTCCTGACAATGTCATATTTGAGTACGCCGGAAAGGACGCTACCAACCTATTTCCTGTTCAAGTCTCGGCCCTCTGTGATGGAATAACAGGGAGGATACCCGAAGAAATTGTCCTTGATTTCCAAACAAATTTGACAGACAAAAATGCTGCCTATCATGACTTTAGGTTCTTTACGAATGACTACCGCCCTGATTGGTATTTTGAACAAATGGTTTACCTCAGAAAGAACTATCGCCTTGGGTTTATGGGGTATGAACCATCAGATATTCTACGACAGGCAACAAACGTTGTGAGCGTTGGTGAAATCAATACGCATCGCAGCTGGGCTATTTTACATGGTGATGTATACGATCTGACTTATTATCTTATGGGTGGAAGAGCTCCACGTGCACCAGAAGGGCTGTCTCCTCCAGCAAATCTCGATCTCAACTTTATGGATAACAGTATTGTTGAGTTGTTCCGACAGCTCGCAGGAACTGATATATCAAAGCACTTTGATGCATTACCTATATCTAGCGAACTAAGAGCCCGTCAATTGGTCTGTCTACGAAATCTTTTCTTTGTTGGGAAACTAGATACCAGACGCTCGGTACAGTGCCTGTTTTCTGAATACTTTCTGTTAATTATAACAGGTAAGAAGCCAAAAATATACGTAGATACACCTAACACTCCATAGGTTTTCTTTGTGCTGTTATCGTTTTCAAATTTTTGGCCGCATTACAACTTGGGACATCTCGAGAGCCAGAAGATTATGATAAATTTATCATATGCCAGGTTCCTTGCTACACCGAAGGAGAAGAGTCCCTAAGAAAGACAATTGATTCCATTGCAGTACTAAAATATGATGACAAACGTAAACTGCTGTTTCTTGTTTGCGATGGTATGATTGTCGGTAGTGGCAACGATAGATCAACTCCACGTATTGTACTTGACATTCTCGGGGTTGATGCTAATGTTGATCCTGAACCACTCTCATTCCTTTCTCTCGGTGAAGGTGCTAAACAATACAACGCCGCAAAAATCTATTCTGGGCTTTATGAATGTTCTGGTCATGTGGTGCCTTATGTTGTTGTTGTAAAGGTTGGCGCTCCTAATGAAAGACAGAAGCCAGGAAATAGAGGAAAAAGAGATTCACAAATGGTGCTCATGCGGTTTCTTAACAAGGTGCACTTTGAATCCCCAATGACTCCAATGGAACTTGAAATATATCATCAAATCAAAAACGTTATTGGAGTCAACCCAAGCTTTTATGAATTCGTTCTAATGGTTGACGCAGATACAGAGGTCTTGCCTGATTCACTCAATAGGATGGTATCTTGCTTTGTACATGACGCAAAGGTCATAGGTCTCTGTGGAGAAACTAAACTAGCAAACGAAAAGGACAGCTGGGTTACTATGATTCAAGTCTATGAATACTATATCTCTCACTTCTTGTCCAAAGCTTTTGAATCGTTATTTGGTTCTGTTACTTGCTTACCAGGTTGTTTCTGTATGTATCGCGTACGTTCCCCTGGTAAAAACCAGCCACTGCTGGTTAGCAATCAAGTGATAGACGATTATGCTGAAAACAAGGTCAATACGCTTCACAAGAAGAATTTGCTGCACTTGGGTGAAGACCGTTATTTGACCACACTAATCTTGAAGCACTTTCCAACATATAAAACTAAGTTCACTGCTGATGCGGGCTGCTTAACGAATGCACCTGATAGATGGAGTGTGCTATTATCTCAAAGACGACGCTGGATCAATTCTACAATTCATAATTTGGGCGAACTTGTATTCTTACCTCAACTCTGTGGCTTCTGCTGTTTTTCCATGCGTTTTGTGGTCATCTTGGACTTGTTGAGTACTTTGGTCATGCCAGCAGTAGTTTGCTACCTTGGTTACCTGATTTATCAGTTAGCAACTAATGCAGACCAGGTTCCCTTGATTTCGTTGATTACTTTGTGTGGTGTTTATGGCTTGCAAGCAATCATTTTTATTCTGCGCAGAAAGGTAAGCTTTAATTATAATAGTTGTTGGCTCTAGACTAATGTAACTGTAGTGGGAACACATCGGATGGATGATAGTCTACATTCTGGCAATCCCGATCTTTTCCTTCTTCATTCCTATTTATTCTTTTTGGCACTTTGATGATTTCTCTTGGGGAAATACTCGTGTTGTTCTTGGGGAGGATGGTCAAAAGAAGGTACTGCCGGCAGACGAAGGTATATTCGATCCAAAAGCTATACCTCTTAAAAAATGGAGCGATCATGAAAATGAACTATGGGAGAACGGCTCGGTCGAGACCAAGGGAACCACTATAACTTCAACCTCACGTCGAACGGCAAACAATCCTTATGTCTCATCAGCGTCCTGCTTAGGATACCCAAGCATGAATCCTGGATATATTGCTCCTGTCGTAAATTACGCTCCAAGTATAAACCAGATTCCAGTAAGCGGGGCAGGTGCTATACCTGGGACATTCTATCAAAGCGATAATATAAGTTTGAGATACTCTCAGCAAAACCTGGCAGGAAGAGCACCGTCAGTAATGATGGGTGTTCCATCATTTAGCGCTCCTGGTCAGGCCAACTTTAATTTATCCACACCTTCAGTCTACAGTGTTGATGGTGGCTATCAAGCAGGATACCAAGGTATGGGTGTCAACCCTACAGTTGTAGGTGGAGAACACGATACCTCATATCCAACAGATGAAGAAATTAAAAGAGAAGTACAGAGAATTACAGCTACTGCAAATCTCATGACAATAACAAAAAAGCAAGTTCGCGAACAACTAAGCAGACGTTTTGGCATTAATATGTCTAATAGAAAGGAGTTTATAAATCAATGTATCGAAGACTGTTTAAAGAAGCATTAGCTTTATTTGTTATATCGAATAAAAATGATACCAAAAACTTTTTAATATGTACGAATCAAATAATTAACAGTTTATTGTTCTATGCAGCTAAACAAATGGAGCTGAGAGAGGATCGATAACCTTGCCTAACTTTGTGAGGACGCGAGGCTTCGTCATCTTTGAGAATGTTGCCGTAGTGTTCCATTCGTTACCAACAGGAGTAGTAAGAGATCTTTCATATTGTTCCAATGTCTTGAAGGGATATGGTACAGAAACAGCTTGGTATTTTTCGGCCTAAGAGTATAATATAAGTAACAGCCTGATAAAAACGAAATATATACACGTTACCTTTTTGTTGGCCTTTTCATTAATAATTACATGTGCCAATTTGGCATCTCTTCGCTTATCTGCTGCAATACCCTTTGTAATCTTGATAATCTTCTTTTTATTCTTTTTAGGTTTCACACCTGCTCCAGCCCAAGCACCCCAACCTGGAAGAGTCAGATCTTCGACCTTATCGCCATCTTCAGCAATTTCAGCCAGCTTTTCTTCTTCAAACTCCGCAACAACATCATCATCTGCAAATGCTCTTGCTACAAGCTCGCGTTGTTCAAAAGTAACACTCTTCTTAGGAGCTTTTAAGGATACATCATCATTATTCTTATGACTCTTGGGTTGTGCTTTCTGTACTGGTGCTTCTTTCACAGTACTGCTTGCTGCAATCTTCACTTTGGTTTTCTTTTCCTTTTTCTTGTTTTCTATCTTGTTTGTTTTATTATTCTGTTGCTTCTCAGTTGCTGTTTCAACAATCTTTATTTCTGTAATTGGGAAATCAGTGACAGGAGGTGTAACGTCCTCAGTATCAAATTGATCTTCCTCTCTTACTTCTTGTTCTGGTTCATCATTAGATTGCACTTGTTTGGCTTTGGCACCAAATGCCATACGGCCAGGATTATTTGATATCATTACAAAGTTATCCTCTTCTTTTTCTTTATCTTCATTGTCACTATCTGGAGCAAGCCATTCCTTTTCGAACTCATCAATTTCATTTTTAAGATTATCTGATTGACGTTTAGCGGCATCCTGCATAAATTTCATTGAAAGTATGCCTTTTTGTGGTTGGGTATCTTGTTCAATATCTTGTTTTAAGCTGTTAATCTCTTCTAAAATAGCTGCATCATCATGGTCATCACTATCATCTTCAGACTCTGACCCTTCAATTTTACGTCGAAGTTCTTCTCCACGACGTAATTGCTCCATAATAGCTTCGCGAGTGCCTTCGTCTTGAACACCACGAGCCAATGCACGCTTGGCCCATTTACTAGTATTCTTATGTTTCAGTGTCATTCTTTCTTCGGCTCTGCTTAATGCAGCCTTCATCTTGTCTTCATTTTCTTCTTCAAAATCAACTTCTGAAGTTTCCTGTACTTGAGAGGTGATCTTTTCCTTTTCCTTACGCTTTAATTTTCTATAGCTCTTGCTCTTAATTTTCTTCAAACGTTTGTTCTTGATTTCACTACGAAACATCAATTCACGCATCATACGAAGTTCTCTACGTCTTGCTTCCACTTCAGCAACAGTTAGCTTATTTAACTTTAAAGCCTCAAATGCTTCGAGTTCTTCATCTTTCATGCCAGCATCAGCAAGAGCTTGTTGCACTTGTTGTTCCAAAGTTGTTTCTGCCTTGAATTTACTTGCTAGTGCAGCACTTGTACGACCATCCTTTGGTGAAGAAGAGCTGTCCTGAAGTGGGAACGAAAGATGTTCTGCAGCACGAGTCATTTGAACCGTAGGTTGCCATTTAGAAATCTCTTCAGTTGTGTTAGCTAGAGCGGCTTGACGTTCCATACGGTCTTGTATACGTTTGGGTAATGGTGCATCCAAAGCTCGGCGAGTCAAGTGTTTTCCTTTTCCAACGAGTGTTTCAATACCTTCTTTCAATGAACCAAATGTCGACTCATCATTGACAGTGCTCATAAGATCATTTAGGCTGATTTTCTTATTTGATCCATCATGTCCACGGGTGTTTAAATTAAACTCATTCTCTTGGTATGCTTCATTTCTTTCCTTCAACTGACGTCTTTTAGTTTTAGAGTCGGGCATATCAGAATCATTACGTCTACGCTTTTTAGTCTCAAGTCCCTCAACAAAGTTAGCGAGTCCATCACTGTCACTAGCATCGTCATCTTCTTCGTCGTCACCGTCTATAATGTCATCAAATCCTTTAAATTCTTCTTCGTCTTCATCTTCGTAATCATCATCCTTGGCTCCATTATCCATATCATCCTCGTCTTCGTGATTACCGTCAAGCATTTGAGAAAGATCCACAAAGTCACCTTCATCTTCAATATCACTTTCATCTTCCGGGTCGGATTCATCTTCGTCCATGTTAATCTCATTATTGTCCTTGTTTGCTTTCTTCAAGTGTTTTTTCTCGGATGCCTACACATAAAAGGGTTATTATTCATGGCTTGTTTGATAATAACTGTATCATTATATTTACCTTTGTAGATCCCCGAAACTTGTAGCCTTCGAAACGCTCTTCATCCGACTCATCAAAGGCCTCGTCAGAATCAATTTCTTCATCGTCTTTTTCATCTATTTCGCCTGCATCATATTCCAGATTGTCAACTTCATCAAGATCATGTCCTTTTCGGCGATCTGACAGCTCTACAGCCTCATAAACATCAGACGCTACAAGTCCGTCAGATTTTGACTTTTTTGCCTTGTTTATAGGCTTTTTATGGTGAGTATTGGCTTTATTCTTTATTGGGCGAGCCATGAGTTGATTAGAAGAGGAGCACAGCAACTTGAAAAAATATACTTGTGCATTTAAGCAAAGTTACTGTTTAAAGAAAAGCAGTCCTACACATCCAATAAAACTTCGGAAAAGTCACAGTTTATTTCAGCCAATTAAAATAGAACCTGGTTCTCTTTAGAAGAAACGAGTTGTTATGCTCCATGCTTTTGGAAAAGCTTTCTCTTTTGCTGTTTGATATTGAATATGTGAATATAATGTACGATAATCTGTATCCAACATCAATCACTAGAAAAATGACTTGAGAATGGAGCCGTTGCTGAGGTTATTTTATAATCATGGTATTTCCCATGTTACTGGGAGTTACCATACATTAATTAAACCGTCCCCAAGCTTTCGAATACAATCATATACCTTTTACAAACAGATATACAATAGAATGCTTGCTATAATTTATTAAAAGCACGCAACAAGCTTTACCCATTTGTTGATCATCTTTCAGCAAAACAAGGCGATACCCTTTATTTAATGCAATAGAGGCTTATAAGCCTTTTCAAATGTACACCATAGTCAATGGAACGTTATTATATATATTATATTTTGGCTAGTAGTTTGTTATTCATGTTGTATTTTAAGACTAATGTTATCAATGCTGAAAGAATGAATGCAAGTCCTGTAAATAATTCTTGTGAGAGAAACGAATTTTTGTTGGTAGCTGTTTGTATTGCACCAGCTAAAGAAGGACCAAATCTTGCTGCTGTCATGAAAAAAAGATATAAACATACTCCAGATGGATACCTCTCTATTCCAGTGATTGATACGGTGATAGGCGCCACTATAAACTATAATAAGTAAATATATTAAAAAAAGCAGTTGTAATATAATCTTTACACAATGAGAATACGGATCCACTCATGAACCCATAGACGAGGATAAAGATCAGCAAGGTAGCAAATGAATTCGCCAACAGCCATATGATTAATGAACTTAGCCCACAAGCGAATAGGAAAAGCATATTGATATTGATGACACCAACATGATCTCCAAGATACCTAGCATCGCGTTAATACTGTTTCTTATCGAAGCAATAGATTAGTTACCCTGACATAATTCTGCCAATGACATTTACAGCAGAAAAGGCAGCGACAAGAATAGACCCCTGAGAAGGTCGTAATCCGATTTTGGTGGCATGCGAAGGAAGATAGAATGCAGGTATGAAGTACCCCAGCATGCTCAGGTTGCCAGAGATACACCAGATAATAAAGTTTACATCTTTACATACACTTGTATCAACCATTTCTTTTAAACTTTTCTTTTTAGTTTTAGGCATATGTGGGCTTTCTTTTAGCAACAGAGTGGACGTTAAACTAATGACAAATGTAATAATGCCTAAGATTCGATAGCACCTGTATATGAAAGAGTTAATCGATTTCCCCTCTTTTATTGTTTATTTATTTACCAAGCGCCCCCGAGGGATTCGTTTAGATGCGTCATAATAAAAGGCATGATCAATCCACCAAGGCCAGATCCGCTGACCATTATGCCCATAGCAAATCCGCGCCTTCGAACGAACCACTGAGGAGAGATTGACATAGAAACCTTTGCATACAAGGGATCAGCACATATTAGTGACTCTTTTTTTTCAATACTTACTATATACAAAAGTGCGGCACCAATACCGTGCATAATACTTTGTGTTATATACAATTGCCAGACCTAAGTATGGATCAGTACTTGAAGAGAGTGAGAGCATCAAACTGCTTGTTATTACCTGCTGAGCAAAACTTGCCAATACTAAGCCAGCTGTTAGACATATGGTTGCGATAAAGAGTACCCATCTTGTGCCGATCAGTGACATAAGAACCGGAGTTATCGGCCCCATTAAACCAAAAAAAGACATACCTAATGTGCCAACAAAACTTAGCGCAGTGACATCTACTGAGCCTTTAAATATCTGTCTATCATAATAATCTTGCATGATTCCTAGGTAGAATATGTGTTATTGATAAGGTAAGAAAAAAAAAAATAGGCCTACCCCTACATATTCAGAAAGAGTATTAGTGAACAAAAGAATTTATACAATCTGCCTGTGTTTACCAGCTTGATAGAGTACACATGCTAATGACTTGAGCCAAGAACCCGCTAAACAAAATAACCCATCGGTATGGGTCTTCCTCTGTATCATACTGATCATTTTTAACAATGGTTTTTTCGGATATGTAACCAGAATCTGCCATTATGCGTGAACGAAACAGATTATCTAGTTGCAATGTACAAGTTATAGTGCGGTCGTCCACAAGTACATATATGTGTATGTACTCACCTTGAGATTTTATATTGTATTTTTCTAATTGAATTGTACTTGAATCGCTAGTAAGTTGACTATCGAACACGACGGTACCAGCATCATCTGCTGATAGTCGTGAATCTTCAAATTGAGTATCGATTGACTGATTATTATAACTATTTGTGTCTTTCATAGTATTTACAAGGATTAAAAGAAGGTAATGAATGTGATAAAAAGTACAGAGTGGAAAAGAAGAAAAGAAAAAGGAAAGTATAAAAGAGGTCGATTCTGCTTTTTTTTTTCTTTGAGATATATATTGACGTACAGGGAGATCAGAAGGTTTTATTTGATAATATAGATTTAGTCTTATGTTTACAGAATTTCAGATAACCTTCTTTCTGCAGTTGAAACTAAAGAGGGTAAGGAGCTAATAAAGGAGGCTAATGACATGCAATGCTATTTCTTTTATGCCCTTTTTGAAATACAACTTGCTTGACTCTTTATTGTTTGTTGATTACAATGTATATAATAATAATGTATAGAAATATTCAATTCATATTGAATTTCGCTTAGGCAATTGAAAATAAAAGCCCTTCTCCTTTTTACATATTGTATATATGTTCTCCCTTTCCTGGTTTCTAATCAAACATGTTTTATAAAAGGAGAATTTCGGTGATGGAAGTAGAATTATAGATAATGTTTAGGTTAAACAAGGCCAAATCAAGGAGTTTTTATAAATATATATACATTTTAAAGAACCATAAAAGGATTATTTCTCTTTTTTTATTATGTCAATTCAATGATGACAGAAAATATAAATATAAAAATGCCGAATAAAGATATTTTTAGGACATAAAAGAGATTCATTATATAAAATTCCGTGTTTAATAAATGCAACCAATATTGATGTAATTATGCATCTTTAATGCCAGTCAAGAAATGCCATTCACAAATCTGATGTCGATCCTAAAACCAAACCTTGTTAAGGATGACGACTTTGTGGGAATCCATCGTGGGTTGTTTACATTATAGATGGTTTTTAAATTTTTTTTTTTTTTGTCCCTTTATATTTTAGTCTCATCCCTGTCGATCCAATAGTGTTGAATCAGGAGTTGTTTTTCTGTACATGTAAATTAGTTTACTGTCAATTAGAGAAGCATATTGATCATGGCAACGGCGTTTTTCTAATATAGATAGCCATAGGCCAAACTTGAGAGCAAACTGTCTCTGTTCATCCAAACGAGTCATTTCTAATGCTTGCTCCATGTATTTATCATTCAAGATGTCCCATACAAATTGATGTTGTGATATGCAATAATCTTTTGTATAATACAAGTTGGAACAGTATCTTCTATGACACCAAATGGATTCATGACCAGGGAATTTAATTGTCAAGTTATTTAGCCATTTCATATGTTGATCTTTTAGACATAACTTCCAATTCATCAAGTTCATGACTTGCTCAAGATAATGAAAGCCTGAATAGTCGCTAATGTTAAGTTCACACCAGGAAAGCATAGTTCTGTACTCTTTCTCTACCAATGTATGTTCTTGTTGATGTCTAGAAAGTATCCAGAAACGATATGACCATGAATAATAGTTGCGCTTATAAAAACAACATGTCATCTCACACAATTTCATTTCATTTTGAACTTGCACGCAGTCATAGTTGGTAACAATCCATTGTCGATGATACCATGCTACTGCACTCTTTGAATGCTTTGGTATCGTAAATACAAGGTTTAATAATCGTATCTCATCGTCTGGATGAATATGCTTTGATATCATCAACTCTTTCCTGGTTATTATTATTATTATTATTATTATTTGAATGCTCTTCTTTTGTTTACCTTTTGTTCATTGCTGTATAGTTATCAGGCTTTAATAATATCATAATTCGTGTCACTTGTTCTATCTTTGAATAGTCTTGTTTAGATGTCTTGGTATAATGCTCATGTGCTTCCTTGATTGCAGTAGATAATACTGGTATTGGAATTCCAAGCCTTGATTCTACCAAGACAAAAGGATAATATTCCTTTCTTGATAGTTCTTGTTGTGGTATCAAATCATACAATAGTCCCAACTCAGTTCTAAGCAATGCTTTTTTAGTAACACTAGTTCATCCTCAAAAGGGTTCTAATTACACGTCATTCTCTTTCAGTATCTTTGCTAATGTAAGATATATTTGCATCTGTTGTTACTCTGCAAAGAAATCAATTTTTTTTTTCTCTTGTAAAAAAATCATTTTTTTTTTCTGTTTCTTCTTTACTCTAGTCAGCACTCATGTATTCAGAGCACAACCATCCAATCAACACATACATTCCGTCAGAGTATTCACCTTATAAAGATACTTCTGATAGTAACAGCATCATAATCTCTGTTCATAATCCTGGTCATGAGCCCGCTGTAAGAGTAAGAGATATCGAAGCAGAGAGACCACAACAGGGCAGTAGACAACGAAAAAATGAATTTGAACCCTATCTGAACGGTGACATTACCAACATTTCACAATTTACAGCAGCACAGATTGAACATCCAAAGACACCAAGAAATCAACAGATCGAATCTGTAGATCAAGAAGACAAAAGTAAGAAGAAGAATGTGATAGAACACGTAATAACTTTTTAAAAAATAGCAGCAAATATTATCAACTTACTTTGTGCAGAACCATATGATTATAAGGCACTTCAAGATCCAAAATGGTTTGATAGAGAATCAATCCACGATATCGAAAAGATAGCCTTGCCTGAATTCTTTGAAGACGGTCCATTAACTCCTGATGACTATATTCGCTATCGAAACTGTATCATTGATACATACAAGTCTAATCCAGAATATTATATAACAGTCTCTCATTGTAAACCTAAGCTAATGAATGTCGACCTGGTTACTCTTGTCAGAATTCATAATTTTTTAGAATCAAATAGACTGATAAATGCAATGGTAAAATGGTAGCTTGTTACAAATTCATTACCAAAAAACTGAAATGTATTAGAATGATCCACGAAGAAGAATATTCGATCCATATATTGACAGTAGCCCTGAACTATGCATTCCTCCTGGGTCACAACGAGACTTTAAGGACATTTCTAAAGCAGACATACAGTATCTGAAGGATTTAGTATACGATATATCAATTACAAAGAACTCAAAACCCTGGAATCTTTCTATTGAAGATCCTTTAAATCCAGACAACAGAAAGAAATACAATTGTAGTACTTGCAACACAGACTGTAGCGAAATAAGATATCAATCATTAAAGTTTAAGCATGTTCAAGTATGTGTCAATTGCTTTCTGGAAGGTAGATATTCAGCTGTGTTATCAAGCGGGGACTTTTTACGCATAGAGGACTCAGGCGCTGAATTGAACATGGATGATGAGTGGACGGATATGGAAATACTAAGATTATTAGAAGGCATTGAGAAATATGATGATGACTGGTTATTGATATCTGAGCATGTTGGAAGTAGAACTAAAGAACAATGCATAACCCAGTTTTTACAGTTACCTATCAATGATGATTTCCTTTCAACAATTCCAACTGATTCAGAAATGAAAGAAGTACCATTTGGTGAATCACCCAATCCTGTCATGACCATGATTGCTTTTCTATCAGGACACGTCAATAGTGGTGTAGCTTCGGCTGCTGCTAAATCAGCAATGCAAACCTTGATCAAATCCGGTGAAGATAATGCTACAGAAGAGCGTAGGTCAGACAATGTCAAACAGGAAGAAATGGAGATAGATAGTCTTGATGACAAGGGCAAAGAATTGGAAAAATCACAGCTACCAGAAGAAAATGAAGGAGCCTTTTCAAAGGAAGCAATGCTTAAAGCCACAACAACAGCTCTAAAAACAGCAATTGAAACAGCACGTAAATTAGCAGCTTACGAAAACGAAGAGATTCAGCATTGGGCAAGATTAGCAGTTAAGACAACAGTAGAGAAACTATCTCTTAAACTTCAACAATATGATGCACTAGAAACCTCGCTAGAGAATGAGCATGAAGAAATGGAAAAGCAAGCGTCAATTTTAGCAAGCTCTATAGATACTTTAATGACTCAGCATCATCCTTTAACAGAAGTAGAAATTCCAACTACAAACAATGCTTTTAATTTATCATAAATAATTATAAACTTGTACAGTCTTTTTTTTTTTTAATCTGAATTAGGCAGTGGATTTTTGTAAATTTAATTATAGACAAACGTGATAGACACTATAGTCATTTTCTGCAGACTCTTGTCAAAACTGTTTTAATCAAAAAGCCTGTTATTTTGATAAAAAAGACACATTTGCTGTGTAAATTTATTTGTCTAATTTTACTGTGCAAGACATACGTGATGCCATTAAACCTAACGTGGTTAACATTTACTCTCAATTTAGGCAAATCACTGGGATATTTATTTTACCGCTGTCATTTTTTAAGGACCCATTTTCGACATCCAATAAAAACTCGACATTTTATGCATAAATTTGACTCATTCAGCGCTTTGACCATAAAATAAACAAACATTATATAAAACAAATACCCAAACCACGGTGAACCTAAAAAAAGGGAGGCCCATAAGTTAATCTCAAGCGCCTTCCTGTTCTCAACAAAGTACACATTTGTCTAAAACCATCCCTGAGAAGACAATACCCAAGCCACTAACAATGGAGCCTATTTAAAGTACCGATAGTTTGTGGATAAAACTTTTTCTCTACAGTTCTTTAGGCTAAATGTCGACAGAAGCACCCAAAGTAATAAGCTGCTTAAACATAAACCAAGTGTCATCTAATCACGTACTTTAGACAGCCAAACGTGATGCCCTTCGCGAACTTGAAGGCAAAGCTCGCGCTCTTTGGGAAAAAGAAAAGACTTTTGAAGTCAATGCACCCACCATTGAAGAACACCCCAATACTGACGACCTTCACAAAGTTCATCCTAAATTTATGAGTTGTATGGCTTTCCCTTACATGAATGGTCGTCTTCATCTCGGTCACGCTTTTACCTTTTCCAAAGTTGAATTTGGTATTGGATATGAACGTATGAAAGGTAAAAGAGCACTCCTTCCTCAGGGCTTTCACTGTACTGGTATGCCCATCAAGGTATACTTTCAAAAAGATACATTCTCTATATCTTCTTTTGACTTATTGTTGACTCCATCATAGGCTTGTGCAGACAAACTTGCTCGTGAAATAGAAATGTTTGGTAAAAACTTTGAAAAGTATGATGAATCAAAAGAAGAAGCGACAGAAGCCAACAAAAATGTCAAGAGTAAGGTTGCCGCAAAGACGGGCAATGTCACATATCAATTCCAAATCATGCTTTCCTTGGGAATTCCTATTACCGAAATTCACAAGTTTGCTGATCCTTATTATTGGACCGAGTTCTTTCCTCCTCAGACGATTGCTGATATGACAGCATTTGGTGCAAAGGTTGACTGGAGACGTTCTTTCATCACAACAGATGCCAATCCTTATTTCGATGCATTTGTACGCTGGCAGATGAGAAAGTTGAAAGCTATGCAAAAAGTCAAATTTGGCGAACGTTATACAATCTATTCTATTGTTGATAAGCAGCCATGTATGGATCACGATCGTGCCTCTGGTGAAGCCCTTGGTCCTCAAGAATATACGGCTATTAAGATGGAAGTGCTCGAATGGTCTGATGCCGCCAAGGAAGCGTTGATTTCTAGCGATGAGAAACTCAAAGGAAAGAAGATTTATTTAGTAGCTGCTACCCTTAGACCTGAAACCATGTACGGTCAAACCAACTGCTTTGTTGGAACTGAGATTAAGTACGGTGTTTATTATGCTAATGATAACGAAGCTTATGTCTGTACCGAACGCGCCGCTCGTAATATGGCATATCAAAAGATCTTTGCTCAGGAAGGTGTCATCAACAAGATTGCTGAAATTGACGGTAAAGACATTGTTGGCACCAAGATCCATGCTCCCTTAAGCAAGTATCCTGCTGTATATGTCCTTCCTATGGAGAATGTCTTGTCCACCAAGGGCACTGGTGTCGTTACTTCTGTTCCATCTGATTCTCCTGATGATTATGCTACCTTATCCGATCTTAAGAAGAAGCCCGACTATTACAAAGTCAAGCCCGAGTGGGTGGCATTCGATCCTATTCCTATCATTGAAACACCTTCCTATGGTAATCTTACAGCACCTAAGCTTTGTGAAATTAAAAAGATCAACTCTCAAAAGGATCGTGTTCAACTTGCCGAAGCCAAAGAACTTGCATACAAGGAAGCATTCTATCAAGGTACCATGTGCATTGGTGAATATACTGGTATGAAAGTCCAAGAGGCCAAGAACAAGATTAGAGATATTTTGATAAACTCAAAGGAAGCCTTTATTTATAATGAACCTGAGGGTCTTGTCATGTCTCGTTCTGGTGATGAATGTGTTGTTGCTCTCTTGGATCAATGGTACCTCGATTACGGTGAAGAGCAATGGAAGGCCAAGACAAAGAAATGCTTAGACCAGATGAACACTTATAGCAACGAAACCAGAAATCAATTTGAGCAGGTCTTGGACTGGCTCAACAAGTGGGCATGTGCTCGTAGCTTTGGTCTTGGAACGAAGCTTCCTTGGGATGAGCAATTCTTGGTCGAGTCTTTATCTGATTCTACCATTTACATGGCATATTATACTATTGCACATCTCTTGCATAATGATTTGAGAGGTAGCAGTGTTGGTCCTGCTGGTATCAAGTGTGAACAGATGACAGACAGCGTCTGGGACTACATCTTCGGACTTGGCGACTATCCTGCCGATTGTGGTATTCCTCAAGCTACTTTAGACAAATTACGTCGTGAATATGAATACTTTTATCCCTTGGATCTTCGTGTTTCTGGTAAAGATCTTATTCCTAATCACTTGACATTCTTCCTCTACAATCATACAGCCATATTCCCCGAAGATAAATGGCCACGCGGTATTCGTTCAAACGGTCACTTGATGCTTGATTCTAAAAAAATGTCCAAGAGTACTGGTAACTTTATGACAATGAGCGATGCTGTCAGCAAGTATGGTGCCGATGCAACCCGTTTTGCTCTTGCTGATGCCGGTGACTCAATAGAAGATGCTAACTTCGAGGATGCCACAGCCAACGCTGCTATTTTGCGTCTTTACACTCTCTTGGAATGGTCTGAAGAACAAGTTGCTAAAGCCGATAGCCTTCGAACGGGTGAATTCAACTTTTTCGACAAGATCTTTGAGAATGAAATGAACAAGTTGATCATATTGACTAATGATGCCTATGAAGCTACTTACTATCGTGATGTCCTTAAATACGGTGTGTATGAATTCCAAGCTGCCAAGGATGCTTACCAGATTGCTTGTACCGAGACTGGTATGCACAAGGATCTTATCATGCGCTATATTGAAACACAAGCATTACTCTTGTCACCCATTACTCCTCACTGGTCTGAACACATTTGGAGAACTCTTCTCAAAAAGGAAAGTTTGATCGTGAATGCTCTTTTCCCTAAGCCTAGTGCTGAAGTGAATGAAGTTTTGGAAGCTGCTACTCGCTATATTCGTAAAACTATCAAGGCAATTCGTGACGCTGAGCTCAATTTGGTAAAGAAGAAGAAGAAAGGAAAGGCTGCTGAAGCTGAATACAAGCCCAGTGAGCCAAAGTCTCTCAAGATCTATGTGGCCACCAAATTCCCCGAATGGCAAGAGGCTACCTTGAACGTGATGAAAGAACATTACTCTGAAGGTCAATTTGACGATATCAAGATCCGACAACAACTTGGTGCTCAAGGCATGTTGAAGGATAAGAAGGTGATGCCTTTTGTCCAAGAGCAAAAGAAGCTGATTTTGAAAGAGGGACCTTCTGCGTTCAATCGTGCTTTGATCTTCAATGAAATTGAAACTCTTGAAACAGCTATGGATGAAATAAAACGTGCTCTTGGATTCCATACAGTTACAATTTTGGGCCACGACCAATGGGCTGAAGAAGATCTGAAGGCTGCCGAAAGTGCCGTCCCTGGTGTTCCTTCATTTAGCTTTAAAAATGAGATTAAATAATCTTTTTAGATAAACAATAAAGTAAAGAGATGTGTACACAAATGCTGAATTTATAAAGCCCCTTTTTTTTGTCACTAGGACAAACATGGCAAGGACGCATAAAAAATTGGAGCGTAAAATAAAAATGAAGGCAGAAAAATGATATCTACGCAGTAACAGTTTGTTATAGCTGCTATTTTTTTTTTTTTTTTCTGTAACCATGACATACAAGAAACAAACTTGTGAAGGCAAGTCTCTAAAACAAAATATATAATACAATTTAAGCATAACATAGTTATTAGAGTGCCGAAATCAAAAACGGAAATGTAATGGCCAAACTCCATGTGAGAGGTTTGAAAAGAGGCAAACTAGACTTTATTGTGTACAATGTATATTGATATCCTATAAAAATAGATGTCATAAACTCAACCTCCATTGTGTTTATATCGTTAATTACTCACCTACCGATGAAGAATTCATTGAGCTTGCAAAACAAGGCAAACTTTTAGAGGAAATTGAGTCATTAAAGAATGGACTAGCACACATGGAAGCGACCATGTCCAATCTTAGAGACCCAAGCATTGGCAATTCACCAGCACAGACTCCCCCTTCCTTGATTGAAGACAGTGACAAAAGCGTAACCAGTACTGACGATGGGTACATTTCCCCTCTGACCAAAACTGATACCAGCTATTCCAAACACCCAAACAAGCGCACAAAACGGCTTGTTTCTTTTGGAGACGACTCATATGTTGATGTATCCAGGTGCAGTGAGGCCACAGGCGGGCCCTCATGGACATTGACAGTCAAGAACGGCGGCTTTTGTATTGATACGCATGTCAACACTTACTCTGATTTATACAACAATCTTTATCGAGTCCTACAGGTCGTAAACTTGGGCTCAAGACTTCCTCCTGCGGTGGCAAATTGTGTAAGAGAAGACACACTGGTTGGCGCTTTAAATGAAATGTTTCGTAGAAAATATGGTAAAGTTCACTGCAAAAATGTTGCAAGGTCGATACAAATCTTTATTACTCCCAGCACCCCTGACGTAGACACAATGGTCGTCGCTCGCTCCTCCGAGAATATAAAGCTGACCACAAGCAAGTTAATACAGGCTTATCTACGCTGCCAGCATCTTCAACAGTTGGCTATTCATGTTCCTACATTCTTTAGACTTTTCATTGACACAGGTTCGTCTAGCGCTGTGATGGCCTTTTGTGCTACTGTATGCACTCTAAGATGCAAGCATATAGTCTCATGCTTGCCTTCGGTATCACTAGTCGAATATGGAAAATTCTATTTCGAGAGGGCTCGAGACGCATTATCGGATATGTTTGATCAGTGCAACTTGGAAACATTTACTACTTATGTATTTATGGCCGTTTATACCTCAGCAGTTGGACAGATTGAAGATAGCAAGCTATACACTGAAATGGCAGAAAGAGTTGCTGCAATTCTAAAGCCCAACTATAGCAATGTCTGTAATACAAAGAGCAAAAGTCTGATACATTTGCAGAAAAAGAGTGAGGCCATTCACTTTAAGCGCTTATTAAACTATTTACATCGCGTGGAAACATTTGTAGAAATATCCGAAGCACAGATAACTGCTCTGAATAGGAGTGAAACCAGACTGCCTTATTGCACGCTCGTTCATTCTAACGAAGGAGAATGGCAAGCTGCAGACGACGATTCAGTACAGGAGAAATGGTTTATTAAGATGCACTCTTATATCTTGCACCTTCAGAGAGCTGTTCATAAGGCTAGCCGATGCGTTTATTCAAGCGACATATATCACCTAGTGGGCTTAATAGGGCACCAGGTAGAGATGGCAACCTTCCACTGGTATACCAAGGTGTTACCCCCAGAGTTTAGGCTATCACTTCCTTTATTTGACTCCAACATTAGTTGTGAAAAGTTTTATGCTACCTTGGAGCGTGAATGTGCCCACAGTGCCGTACCTGTGCTAACCACTCTAGCTGCTTATGAAGAATGGTTGGTCTTTTGTCAGTCTTATTTACCTAAACGTCTGCCTGAGCCTGAAAATGAATGGAAAATGCTAAAGACATATTGGGATGGTGGAGAGGTAAAGGATGAGTCAAAGGTCAACAAGAAATGGATAAAACGAATAGAAAAATTGTTGGAACTTCGTCGTAAAATCAACTTTGAAGGAAGCGATCAAGAGTACTTTGCTACAATTGAGGCCGTGGTTGGTGGCAGTGAATATCATGTACAGAAACGAATTCTGATGATGGGTATACATGCTTCATTCAACACTGTGCGTTTAGCCAGGTATCTGAGATCACGATCAGGAGATTGCTACTTTGATATGCGTATTCTCATGAATGCCTGGCAACTGTTGCTGACAATCTCAAAAGTACAAATCATGATGCCACCAGAGATAATTGAACTGATTCCTCGCCTTCATAAATATCTCCGTATATGTCTGACTATAGTTTACGACGAGGTTAGATTACAACCCTATCAAGGTCAAGTGAGTGACTATGTTAGAATGATGGAAGAAGAGTTTAGGTCTCAAACAGTAAAGGATGATGACTGTGATTGTGTTTCATGTCCTTACGCCTAAGCCTTCTTCAATATAGATCCTGTATTGATTACCATTTCACTACATACATCACAAATACATGTATATATTCAATTGTACCATACTTACATTAATAAACTATGCAATAAAACAAAATACCGGATAATCTCAGATAAGCCAATCGGAACTTTTGGTTATGAGTTGCTATGGGAAATACTTCTGCTTTCCTGTCTTTTCACGCGAATGGTGATAAAGAACGCAATCAAGACCATGGCAAAATCTATTCTAGCTGAATCTTCTCCCTTTAAAATTGCTCTTGTTCAGCTAGGAGGCGTAGGCTTCAATAAAACTGCTAATTTAGCACATGCTCGTGAAAAGATTCTTGAAGCAGCCAAAAATGGAGCTCAAGTCGTAGTTTTACCTGTAAGATTAACTAGGCCATAGATATGCATTTTACCTTTGAGCTAATTGTGTTTCCTTTTAGGAATGTTTTAACTCACCCTATGGAACAAAATACTTTCCTCAGTTTGCTGAGTCTTTAGAAGGTGGAGAATCTGTTAGTATGTTGTCCTCAGCTGCCAAAGTATGCTCTTATCATACAGACATGTATCTTTTCTTTTTACCAAGTTTTGTTTGGAAATAGGATGCCAATATTTATCTTATCGGAGGTTCCATTCCTGAAAAAGAAGAAGCAACTGGAAAAATCTATAACACGACAACTGTCTATGATCCTTCGGGAGCTATGATTGCTAAGCATCGAAAAGTTCACTTATTCGACATTGATGTTCCTGGAAAGATCACATTCAAGGTTGGTCTACGGCAGGGCTATTTCAATATTTGGTGTAATTAATCAGTCTGTGTAGGAAAGTGAAACGTTATCTCCTGGTAGTTGGTTAACATCTGTAGATACAAGTATGGAGCAATAAAACCAAAGAGACAAACAGCATTTTTTACATTTTTATAATAGAATATGGTAAACTTGGGCTTGGTATTTGTTATGATATCAGATTCCCTGAAATGGCCATGATTGCTGCACGTAAGGGTTGTTTGGCTATGATCTATCCAGGGGCATTCAATATGACCACTGGTCCATTGCATTGGGAACTATTACAACGTGCAAGGTTTGATGCCTTATCTCCTTTAAATGCTAATATCTTACAATATTGCACATAGAGCTGTTGACAATCAAATCTATGTCGCTACCTGTGCTCCCGCACGCGATTTAAATGCAGATTACCACTCATGGGGCCACTCTACAGTTGTTGACCCAAGGTAAGATAAAGAAAGAATAACTCTTCTTGTTTATTTACTTTATTTCTTAAAGAGGCACAGTTATCGCAACATGTGAAGAAAAAGAAACGATTGTGTATGCTGATATTGGTAAGTGTAATCCACCCAACATTCATACGGAGCTGTTCATCTATTTTCATTTAGATCCTCAAGAAGTCAAGAATGTACGCACCTACATCCCATTATACGACCAACGTAGATTTGATATCTATAATGACGTTTCTGAATCAGTTGAGTTTGGTAAAGATGGCATTGGCGCTAAAAAGCCATGAGCGGATGATCATGCAATAATATGTTTTAATTCTTTAAATACAAATCTTTTTTTGCATGAAGCTCTTGTTAATGATTTCAGTTTAAAACCTTTTCTTTTATATCTCAAATTAAGACAAGGGGAAAGAGGTGCTTTCAATATTTACAAAGCAATAAACTATACCTACATTATACTTTATTCGCACACTGATAAAAAAAAAAAGATAATTTCAGACAACAAATGAGACAATAAATAATAATAAAAGAGAGCCCATCAGAAGCAAAAGAGTGAACAAAAAAATGATAAGTACATCAGTTATTGATATTAGATACTTACATTATAAAGAAGAGAGCTTTATAAGAGAAAAGAGAGAAGCAAGAAGAGTGGGTAAACTTGTAAAGAGATTACTAATATCTTACCCGAAGTGCATCCTGGGTTGAGCTGGCGATAACCAGCCTGGAAAAGACAACGAGGAAAGAAGAAAAGAATGAGAGTGAGAGCAAGAAAAAGAGCGGCAAAAGGAGCGGTAGGGGCTGAAGGAGTGTGCGGGACCAAAGTTTGGTAAGAACCAAACTATCCCCAGCCAACACCGGATTAGTTTCGGTGGGCAATCTATAGTACTACATATCTTACAAGAGTAAAGAATATAACATACTTTAGGGCTAGCTGGGGAATAGCTGGTCTTACTTTTTGGTCCAAAGAAGAAAATAAAAGAAAAAGAAGTCAAGATCAGACTACTTTTATTAAGTCTCCAACAACTTTTCATTTTGTTATAAAGCGTTGACCACATTTATTTTATGTATCATTCAAAAAGACAGAGTTCATTGTCTTTTAAATATAAAGGAAGGATTGATAATCATCTAAAGTGTAATTATTATTGATCTTGTAATGTGTGCGAATAATTGTAGTATGTATTTCTTAATCATCCAAATCTTCCTCTAGTGGACTTGATCTTGGTTCTAATTCGTCATTTTGCTCCAGGATATGTCTAGCCATGATACGTGGTAAGATAATATCACACACACGATCCTTTGTTAATAGATCATCAATGAAGACATCCATGTATGTTATACTGTAACCATCTTTTCCTCTTACTCGCAGCTTACGATAATCAAGTAATAGTGGTTCAAGGTATTTGTAAATCTCTACTGATTTGCCTGTAAGTCGTAGATAAAATGCGCCTAGCGCACGCAAGTATTTAAAGTCGTCCTGCATTATGTATTCTATAATGATCTCTCTTTCTGGTAATAGTTGTAGTAATTTCAGCAACAAGCATAAAAACTCTGTGGGTTGTAGATTGCCAAATGTTCCTCCAATATATTCAATCTCTACTGCTCTTTCCATCAATGTTGCAGCTAAAGCAAAAGAGTTAGTATTATTTATTAAAACAAATAAAAACATTACCTGTTAGACCATAACATTTCTCTTTCCAATAGATTGACTCTTGAATTCTTTCACGAATGATCTTTTCTACGAGATGCATCGGATGACGACCGTGAACACCAGTGCCTCCGTGTACATTTGGATGTTGTTCTATAAGGTCAAGTCAGTAAGATTTCAACCTGATTAAAGATTTAGAAGGGAGATATAGTGTACCCATTTATGAAGAATGTAGAAAAAAAAAATAAAAGAGAGAGAGAAATACTTTTTGACATTTTTATTATGATTATTATTATTTACATATTACAGCAATTTATTTTTTTATCCTTGAAGTTGACAATAAGTGCATCAAGGGTGCGTGTTTACGAGGTAATTCAACCACTATAGGATAACTAAGTATATGATAATATTAAACAAGCATATGAAACTTACCAACTTTGTTTCTTTGACGATTCTCTTTGCATGTTGCGTTACAATACCAATACATTGTAGGACATGGTTCGATCACGGGTGAATAACATTGTTGATGGTATGCACGAGAACAACCACCATCGCACATAACGAGTTTATTATCTTCATCTTCTTCAGGAGAATGACAAATATTGCAAAATAGCTGAACCACGGGACGTTGTCTCTCGTAGATATTTTCATGTTGAAATTTAGACAAGTCAAGTCTAGGCAGACGACTGGCTAATCCATATCCTTTGTAGTCGCAGCCATGTTTACTATTTTAATATTTAGTTATTTTTTAATTTAAAAAATATAAATAAATATAATTTTTACTTGCAAAGTGTACGCTTGCCCCATGGTCCTGGTCGCCAATTGACGCCCTCTGTCGTGCCGCAATATCTACACCAGTCAATACCTGACTCTGTTAACTGTTGAAACATAGTTTTACGGTGTTCTCCTTCGATAGGTTCAACCACCTGACAATCTTGTTTATATTGATCATTCATGTGGAATCCGGAAATAGACTTTTTTCTGGTTAGGAATTGTGTCTTTTTATATATCTTCTTTCTACGCTTTTGTTGACAAGGCTTTTCTAGCCAATCGATACTATTGTTATCTGTACGCTTACGTTTATGAGGCTCGCTTGTAGTATGGGTATGAAATGTATCAAAGATATTAAACCAGTGATGATCACATTCTGTATCTTGTTCATTACTATTATTGATTAGCAGTAATCTATCCATTCTTTGGCTTGGTTCTTTTGTGGGTATCACTTGTTGATCATCATGTTCTTTTTCTTCTTCTTTGATAAACAGTTGATCTTCAATTCCATCAAATAGAGGTTCATGGTTATACAAGAAATTAGTAGGTGATGTAACAGGAGATAAGCAAGGTGATTTCAAAGAAGAGTGACTACTAAGAGAGGCATTATCATCATGATCTATCCATGGCTCAGCCAAGAAGACATCATCTTTAACAATAGGCTTAAAGGGGGCTGTCGTTGCAGTGGTTGGAAAGAGTAGCATAAAATCCAATGTCGGAGTCAAATCGGTCGTCATGGCTGGATCGATAGGTAACATGATTCTGTTTAATAAGGTATAAAGTAATGATGATTGCTGAGAAAGGACAATAGGTGGATGGTTATCTTGTGTAGTTGCCATTTTTAAAAAAGTAAAGAGGAAATAAAGAAAGAAATAGAAAAAAGAAATGAAAAAAGGGAACTAAAATAAAGGAGAAAAAAAAGAAATGGAAGTGAGGGAGAAACAAATCTATATGCCAATCAGTTTCCGCCACTTCTTATTTCTAATTTCGGACAGTGCCCTCTATTTTTATGCTTTCTCCTTAAAATTTATATAGAGTCCCGGCATCTTTTCCGTCTTTCCTAATCAAATCAAATATATTCTATATTTTCCTGCCTCTTGAAATTTTTGATAACATTGGGCTTTAAAGAAATAAAAAAAAATGAGAGAGCAATGCATCATGCAAACAAATAACCTGCTTGCTTGCTGATGTCTTCTTTTAAAAGGGGTGGAAGACTCTTTCACTCTGAACCTGTCAACTTGCATGCGGCTTAGTTTAAATTTAATGTCACGACTTTGAACCATGGATCTGCGGTTGATTCTTCCCCTTGAATTCTCCTTGCTTTGGTATAATAAACAAACGTCCTAACAACAACATTCTTGTTTTCATTCATGGGCTCCCCTCTTAAGTATATCCATCACATAAATTTGACCACTGTTATTGCTATTACTTTATGATTTGGATCTCATAAATAGACTGATTTCATTCCTTTATTATTGTTATTGTTTATAAATCACAAGTAACATTATCGTACACACACAGTGGTATGACAAAGACGTCTTATCTTGATTATTCTCGCTCTGTACTCATACCGGGTATCGCTTCATATCCATTCTCTCTTGGCATATCAGTAATCAACACCTGGTCTGAACTTTCATTATTGGCGTCATCGATAAGTAGTCCTTGACGACCTTGTCCCGTATTCCAGGCAAAACCATCCTCATCAAAATCAGCTGTCAACGCCATTCCTTCTCCTCCAAGCACACTTAGCAGCACTGGTAAGAGCACAAGTCCATGCAAAGCTCCTAGAAGAACGATGGCAATATCTGCAGAAATTACATATTAGCAAAAAAAAAAAATCTATCATCCAAATGCACGTGTTTTTTTAGAAGACCTACACATTCGGAAATAATACACTTGGAATATTTTTGAACGAGTAAAGGCCAGGACGACAATGCCCGCAAACTTGGTTAGGGTAATTCCAGAAAATACCTACAAACGAGAAAAGGGTTAACAAACCAGAACTAGCCTCACAAGCGATATTAAGCTTACCGAGCTGCCCACATCAACCATACTTTTGCCCGCTCTGTCTTCCAAGTTACCGCTTGCTACCATAAAACCACGAGCGATATGGCAACAGAACTCAACGCTGATACCAATACAAATCACCAGGTTGACCAGGCTCACCGCGTTAAGGCTTACTCCCCAGAGTGTCATGACACCAACGACATCAACCAAGATCATAATCACTACACCCATCACGATAAGCCCACATCGGAGGCTGCCTAGCAACGAACTGGTGACGATAAAGATGGACAGAATGGCAAGCCCCAGGATTTCAAATGCCATGGAAACAATGTAGGTGTACTGCTCAAAGAAGATATAAAAGACAGAGTAAGGGAATATATCCAAGTTTAGCTCTTGACTCAGATCGCTGGCAATGCGTCGAGCAGAGGCATAGGCAGAAATAAATTCATCTTGCGTGCGTAAAGGCGTGTGAAAGGTCCTAAAGTGTGAGGCCTCTACAGTCATTTGTTCCCGATCTACGGCAACCGCGTCACCATAAGCTGCCTTTCCTGCGAGCGGACAGTCCTGATCAGGCGTCATATTAATCCAGAGGTCGTACATGTCAAGAAAAGCTTGGCCTTGTGGTATAGCTTCCATTGTACTGTCATAGTTTGGAATACAGGCAACACAGCGACGTTGTGGGTCTGTTGGCTTACAAAGTTCTGGTTTCGATTCATAATAGGCTCTGTCAAGGTTACTCAAGCGACGTGGCTGTTTCTTGAGTCGACAACATTCGAAATTGGGATTAAGCCAGAGCATGAAGTCATCAAGCCATACACTTGTAGGTTCACCAATAAAAGATACATTGGCACGCTTACGTTCAAGTTCCAAGATATTGGCCAAAGATCTCTCTTCACAAGCTGGGAATCGACCACATACCTTTTGCTGTTCTTGTCTGTCGGTCAAATTGGCGTTCTTGACAACAAAATAAACAGGTGGCCCCACATTAAAGTATTGGCTCATGTCATCAAAGTATTGCACCAGGTAAGAGTCGGAAGGTAAGGCTATACGCTGGTCAAGGCCCAGAGGTAACTGGGGAGCCAAAGAGAGGCCGAGCATGAAGAGGCCGAGAAAGGCAAAAGCAATAAAGTAGCGTATCTTGTGGTGAAGTATGACTGGCACATAGTAGAGCTTGATCATTGATTCGAGGAATCCTTCTTTCTCAATGACTTCTGGAGCCTTCACTATCACGCATGGAACACAGTCTGCTCGACGGTCCTATAAAGAAAGCTGTTATTATACATTCGTCTCCTTCCTGTTGATCTTTTTACCTTGACTCTGCGAGCATCTAATGCTAAGCAGGAAACAAAACATGTCACTTGAAGTAAGAAATCTATAAAAACAGCAATTGCAGCCATCATCGCAAAGCTACTGACAGCCGGCATGGTCACCATGGTGCCCAGTCCGAACGCGATTGTTTCACTCAGTGAGCTAAGTAAAATGCTTGGCCCCATTTTGCCCAATGTCTTGGCAGTTCTTTCTTCTATTGATTCGTCTTGTCCCAATTCGACTCTTCTTTGATATTCATGACACAAGATAAAGATATTATCCACACCAACAGCCAGCACCAAAAATGGTATGACTTCTGCAATGATCAATGTTATCTTTTTGCCTGTCAGCGAAAATAAACCGACAGCAGTAGATACTGAAAAGATCACAATAAGGATACCACAGACACCTAGAGAAAACTTAGAATCCACTGCCCATCGACGAATATTGAAAGATGATAGTCGTCCGAGTGCCACAGAGGCATAGATAAACATGACAATGTAGCTGATCAGTATCGTCTTTGCATCTGTATTGCTCGACTTGTTCAACTCGGTTTCTAAGGAACTCTAAAGTAGATATATCAGTATATCGATTCATCTTTAAAATATTTCAACTGTACCTCGGTCGAGTAAGTTATTCTTACGCCGTTCCATTCGGGTCGTTCATTAATGTGTGATAGAATAGTATCAAGTAATGTTTTTTCCCAATCCTCGGCTCTTGCTATATCGGTTTCATTCATAGAGTTCTTTAGTACAAACGTAAGGATCAACGCCTTGGCTGTGGTATATTTCTCATCCTCATAGCCACCCAAGATCATCTGAGGCTTCAAGGGTTGCAAGAACTCTGGTAAACAGTCCGAAGGCTGGGATGCGCATGCGTCAAGGTGTGATTTCCAGTTTTCTGGATCAAAATTATCCAAATCTCCTTGCCAGTACCCTGTAACGGATTGAACAATACAGACATCACCTGTTGGATGAAAGCAGACGTCGCTCAGTGTGCTTCCATAGGTACGTGACTTGACACTTTTGATTTCTTGTTCTAGCTTAAATATATTTTCTATTCGCTCTGCCGACGCAATAGGTTCATCTGATTCGCTAACGAAAAAAATCTGAGTAGTTCTATAAAAAGGAGTAAAGTGTTTGTCAAAGTAGTTCTTTTGCGCTAGTGCTGTCGAAGTCGGAGATACCCAAAGGTTCACAGGATCTTGCTCGATTGCCAGACGTGACCAGCCGAGAGAGCACAGAAAGACAAAGACAAGGCTGATGAGAATGACAGACCAAGGGTGGCGTGCACAAAACAAGCCTTGATAGTAAAACCAGTTTTGAACACGAGAGTTAAGCCAGTAACGACGAGGAGTATAATCAGGGTCCAATAGGTCTTGTTCATCTTCATCTTCATCGTCATCTGCAAGTGCAAGTCGTTCATACAATCCTCTTGCTTCCAATTGATCGATATTGATCCCAAAAAACCTTTGGCACCATTGACCGATTGTCTTATTTCTTGCCAGGACCAAAGTCAAACCTAGTAGCAGCACAATAACGTAGGTCATCAACATGGCAAAACTCCAGCATCGGATCAGGCCCACACGGCACTCTGGTTGTTCTTCCGGAGTAGGTGGAAGCACAGGGCAGGTTGCCTGACAATCAACGCATGCACAGCGGTAAGCGGGATCCGTATCGTTGCACAACTTTCCATCTTGATCGTATCGCATAAGGCCGTCGGAAGGTGCACGTCCTTCCATGGGCGGGAAATCAATCTGGAAGGGGCTCCCCATAAAAGGCCGCTTCATGCCCATAAAAGTGACCATCTCATGCCAGTTCTTGGCTCCTCCCCCGATAAGATCCATGGCAAAGCTGTTGCTTGATCCAAACTGGATGTCCTTGCAACTATCAAAGAATTGACTTCCAAAATGGTCGCCTACCCAATAGTCCGCTCCGGTGACGCCCTGGTGATCGTCTAGTGAGGTAATATTGACAAAAGTCGATTGGTCTGGCGAACATGTAAATGAACACCAAAACTGTAAAAAGTTCTTCCAGCAGGCAGGACAGGAAGCAATAATTCGTTCAGCTTGCTTCACTTGGCTGATCAGACTCTCAAGTTGGCTTTCATCGCAACAAACAGGTCCAGTCGCAAAGTCTGCACCACACGTGTCTATGAGTGATTGTCTAAACATGTCTGACTCTGGTTCAACAGCTGGTATATTCTTTGCGCATGGTACTGGTAAGAATGAACCGCACTGTCCTCTCATGGAGCAGTAGCCTTCCTTATGAATCTTGGTTATAGGCTCACATGTAATCTCTAGTATAAGCCATGAAATCAGGCAGTAGAGTAGTAAAGGTATTCGCATATATATGTGTATTGTAAAAAGGTGAAAAGAATGTTACTGTATTGTTTTGGAAAAGAAGGGAAAAGGCAACAGAATGGACGACGGAAATTAAACGTAGACGATGGACCAATAAAATGAAATGGGGTGCATAAAATACCAGTGCAAGTAAGAGGGGTCACGCATCTCTCGAGATGTAAAGTACGTAGTTATTACAGACCAAGTATATATTATGTACTATAGCATGAGAGATCATACAAAGGCTCCAAGATAATACATCAAGTACCTAATATAAAACTGAGAGAATATATGCTTAGTCCAACTCAGATATAGTTTAAGCCATTCTGTTTAAACATCAGGCTTGTACTATGGATGACGCACATTGATATACAACATATATATTCATCTAATATGACTATAATAAACCCTGAATATACGTTTATTTAATCTCAAAAGAATTCATATGAATTCTTGTTTGGAGCAACTAATCAATCTTTATTCAACTGCAGCGATTTCCTTTTTTCTATGGTCTCCTTCGATATGTATGCCTTTTCCATTCGTGTATTACATTACTACCCTTTTTTTTTCTTTGTTCTGCTTAAGATTATTTGACAGATGATTAAAAGAGTTGCATTGCAGAAAGTTACACCTGTTTATGCGAGAAAATGTTAGGCTCTATGACTTTATTTGGTCATGATGGTGTCATGACATTGTGCTCTCAAGTATGCACAAACTATATCATGTGATCGCCTCAGGTTGATTAACAAAAGCAGGGAGAGGAGGGGTCTAGGCAGAAATTCCACTTTCTTTCTTTCTTTATACTTTCTGTTTGACCTGCAGTTCCTTTTTTGCCGCAAAAAGTAATATTATGAATATAGGTTGTGCCTTGGGGTTACGAGACATTCTACTTTTTAGGATGACAATACGGAATTTAAACACAGCTTATGGTTTGATTTTACTTCCCATGAATTACGATCAAACCTCACAGAAAGCTGTTTAGTAAAACATTTAGTTTAAATACAGATATAATTAAGCCAAGGTATGTAAGACGCGTGAAATATAAAAGCAGACAACTAAAAGATAAACAAGAAACAAGTCATGAGTCTTGATCTAAAAGCTGACCATTACTCATTGTTTGCTGTCTAAATGAAAGAAAAGGATCGATCATGATTGTAAATATCATCAAGCTGCAATAAACAAAAAGGGTGCATCTTACAGTCTCCCAGAAATAGATTCATGTGGTGGAACGGGCAATCACTGCTAACGTCCCTGTGTTTCACGAATGAAAAGGAGAATAAAGAAGAAAGGAAGAACAAGGTTAACCATATTGGTTACTTTAACAAAAGATTAAGGTTAAATTTTACAAAGTCAGTTCTCGGGCTGAACAAAAAGTGTATACAAACACATTTTCCCCCCAAAAATTGTTTGTATAAAAGTGGTCCTTTTGTCGTCATTTTTAAAAGAGCTCTTTTTATATACATGTATAAAAATATATCTTGTTTCAGAAAACAAATAAAAAATGTCTCTTATATCAGCGCACTGATGTATGCGCGAGGTAACACAATCTAAAGAACACTTGTACACACACTTATTCTTTAGTAAGTTCAGTTGAGACATAGATAACAGCACGTTGAACTATGTCTGCTCTGGGAGTCACTGGTTCAATTCTCGGTTTTTTCTTTCTTTCTTTTTTAATATATTCCCTTTAACAACATTTTTGATATCATAAAGAGAAAAAGTGGCCGGTGACACCAAGATTGTAAAGTCGTATGTCCGTGTCCTGTAGATTCATGCAAATCTCTGTTGATGATTATATCCGCCCTTTTTTACACTATTTACTTGCGGTTAATTATTTAACCTTGACAACTAGATAACCATAGATATACACACAGAAAAAAGGGGCCTGGTTAAGACGGCTTAAAATACAATGGTTGAACGAGACTGGAAATGACCTTTTAAGTCAAAGCGAAATTCCTGTTGTACAAAAAGTCATGAAAAAAAAAAATGTGTTTAACAATAAAGCACTTTAACACGGAATCCGGAATGAATTCTAACCACATGTTCATCTCTTGTTTAATTACAAAAAGCTTGTTTTTTATTTACTTTCTTCTTTCTTCTTTTTTACATCTTTTAAAAAAGAGAAAAAAAATGTCCTCCACCACTGCAGGGACACAACATACATTAAAAAAACCATGCAATTCTGTCAGTTGTTGTTCACCTTCTAGACTTTGGAAATCGATTCAACAAGTCATCAATCAGGACAAGCGTGAAGAATTCAAGACGTTATGTCAAGACAAGACAAAGATACCTCATCTTGTACGAGTCATCCTGTCTTCACGTCTATCCAATAATCCTTTACTTTACAGTAAATCAACCACAGTCATTGACTCTCGCTTAAATGAGAAATTTGGCAAGTTATCAGCCACAGATTTGAATGCTGTCGAAATCAGTTTATTACAGCATAAGCATGATACCTTTGCTTATTGGACTTTGCAGCTTTTGAAAAAACATGCTAAAGCTTCTGAATGTAAACAATTTGTCAATCACCAATTCGGAAAACAGGGCAATACGGCTTTGCATCTTGCTGCCTTCTGGGGCATGTCCAGGCTTGTACGACTCATGTTAGAATTAGGAGCCGACCCTTCTGTCCAAAACAATCGCCAACTCAGACCAATCGATTGTACGACGCATGCTGATGTGATTGCTTTACTTGAACCCAAGGCACCAGCACCCAAGCATTCTCTCTTGCTCAAGAAGGCCGTCCAGACCATTACCAATGACGCACAGTACTATGCTGATGATACAGCCAAAGTTGCGCCTCCTTCTCCAGATTATTTCATGAAACCCTCGCCTTCTCCTCTCTCTTTCTCTTCATCCTCATCTTCCTCATCTTCATCCTTTTCTTCACTCGATCAACACTGGACTCCTCCTGCATCACCTGTCTCTCATCTTGACAAGATACCCCCACTTCCACCTTCTCCTGCTCCTGTCTTGACGCCCATCAAGAAAAAGAAGAACGAAATCAATGAAACTCTGATGGTTCAAGAACATGAAGATGAAGAGGATGAAGTGGCTATTGAAGTTCCCCTTGAACGTCCTGGATGTTTACCTCGTCATGATCTTCCAAAGGAAACTGTGTTACAGAAACAAAAGAAACTTCGGCAAGTGCAATTTGACCCTCAGGTCATTGTGATGGATAGTTGTGTCCGTGGTGACCATGAAGAATTAACAGAATGGATCGATCAATTGGACGTTCAGACCATCAAGGATATCCAAAATCGGTCTTTGCTACATATTGCACTTATGCATGGAAATGAGCATTTGGTAGATTTTCTAGTGGATAAAGTGGATATTAATCAAGCAGATCAAGATGGTAAGTAAAAGAAGTATATTAAAGTGGCAAGATATTCATCATATTTCTTAGGATGGACCTGTCTTCATTATGCTGCAGCTCTTGGTCTATGGAAGTCACTAGAAAGACTCTTATCTCATCCTCAATCTAATATTCATGCACGGACCTATCACGGGTTAAAAATTGAAGATTGTCCAAACTCGGATTTTGGACGAAGAAAGTGTAAAAGTAAGTACCTATTTTTATTTTTCTCATGTCATATTTATTTATATTTCATTAGTTATTATGGATAAAGTCCAACGTCGATTTGCCAAACAGCATTAAATGTGTATATAACGAAGAAAAAAAAACAAAACAAAAACAAACAAAAATTCAATCATATTCCCCCCTCTCTCTCTCTTTTCTTACCCCCCCTCCCTCTCACTTTCTAGTCTCTCTCTACCAATTCCTTTCTTTCTTGTTTATATTTATACATACATTTTATATATATATATTTATATATACACACACAAAATTATATATACAGTCGACTAATGTACATTGATGTACTTTTATATACATACACTTATACCCCTATCCTATCCTTTCCCTCCCTCTCCCTTCTTAATCACACACACACCCTCTCTCTTTTCTTATTTTATGACAAAAAGTTATTTATGTGATTTATGAAACTCCAATGGTACTTTCCTTTTTTGAGAATAAACATTACCATATGAAACTTAACTCCTTGTTTTTGTTTCCACACAGACAGTGTCACGGGAATTGGCCTTTTATTATTTCGTGTTTCAAATGAAAAAGTGTGTGTACATCCTACTAGACTCGTGAACTGGCATCTCGTAGAGTTTGAAATGATTCAATTCTTGTTTTATCTCTTGTGCAATCACAGGGGTCAGTCGTGTACAAATAGCCTCAGGGTCTGATGTGCGATCATAATCTTGCCTAGAGTAAGTTTCGTACACGGTCACATATTGATTGAACTGAATTGCCAACCCCATCGATTCAATGTGCGATTTTCTCTTCTTTAGATTCGATATTTGTGTTTTCCGTCGTAAGGTAACGCTTGACCATCGAGTACTCTTGTTTGGTTTTTTCAGTATACTTTTTGTCATCATGGACTGTTTTGGATGTGCCATACTCGTCTTGTTACGAAAGGAACAGATGGGTAAACCACAGATGGAAAGACGATGTGAAGCTGTTGCAGATGTATTCTGGCTCATCCTATCGTCATCGTCATTATCATCATCATCGTTGTCAGCCATTGTTAAGCTTTTAGTTGATTGACCTGCTACTGTAGTTGATGTACATCCTGAATCACTTGACAGAGATGCATCATGACTTATGACAGGCAGTGGCTGATGTTTCTTCTGTTTCAATCCTAATGCACGCTTTAGTGCAGATTTCACTTTATATAGTCTCTTCTTTTCATGCAGGCTCGTCAGACTACTATGAAGCATGCATTGAGGATCCAGGTAGGATTGGATGACCGCATGATGATCTACTTTATCTTCATTTTCCCAAATACATGGCTGCGTCATTGCATTCAGGTCGTTCCTGTGATTATTCTAATAAACATAAGTAGCATGACTTTGAAAGCAATGATGTATAGCTTACATGGTCAATAGATAAGCTCTGTACTTCATGAATGATCTGATTCATGTCATGCTCATTCATAGTCATATACGCAGCAAGATGTAAACGAATGGAAAGGGTTTAAAGGGAAAAGAAAAAGAAGTGTGATTCTGATACCAGCTAAAAATAAACCTGTAATGCTTAACTTCAGTATATATATATAAAAAGCTCCTTAATAAGTTTGAAGGAATGAATCTTTATATGCGTTATATAAATTAAAAAATGACCTATAAATTACTTTTACATCAAAAGAATGTCCTCAAGGGGGTTTGCCCCACAGATACACACGCGATGCTCTCTCTTTTTTTTTTGTATAGCATGAATTTTTAATTTTTAATTTTTTCTTTCTTTCTCTCTTCAATGCCACCTAAACCCATCACAAAGACACCAAAAGGTATTAGTCAAGCCTTTTTGTATATTGATCTAACATTCCATCCATAAAGTGTCTAAGAAACGAAAGCTTGAAGATCCTTCTCAGCCTAAACTAGATTATTTCTATCAAAAGAATGACCCAATGCAGATTGACTCTTCATTGTCAAAATCACCTTCAGCAAGTGATAAGCCTCCAACTCTTGGAAGTATTCGACAGCAGCTGATTGTACCAAAAGTGACAATTGTGAACTTTAGTCGTAAAGTAGAAAAAATAGAGAGATAATAATATATTGCTAAATAAGAAAAAAAAAAGCCTCTAGACATTCTGAATTGCCACCTACATTCATTGCTGATGCTTGGAAGCTTCAAAAGGATCTGATCCTTGCTATTTTTTCTAATTCTACAGCTCACATGAATTATGCAGCCGCAGCTAGAGTAAAGTTGTATTATATTTTACAAACAAAACGCTCTCTAATGCATCGGTAGCTCTGTGAAAACTTGTGTCGATATGGAAAAGCAGAGGAGCTTTATGAAAGATTAAAGTCTGAGATCGAAGTTCATGTGAAGCATATACAAGCATCTTTATCAGTTCAGGATGATGCATTATTGGAAAAGTTAAACACACAATGGGAGTCTCTCTGTCATCACCTGAGTATCATTCGAAACGTATTTATGGAATTGGATAGATATTATGTACTGTCAACTACAAAATATGCATCGATTCTGTAAGTCGTATTTTATCTTTGATATTATTTATTCATCTCTCCCTTCTTTTTCTTTGCTAGACAATTGGGTATAGATGTCTTTCGTGAAACCGTAATGAGTTCAATCGAGTTCCGTAGAGCAGTCATACTGCAGACATTGAAATTAATTGAGCAGGATAGAGATGGCATTGATGTGAACAAGCAACTGATCAAGGATATCTTGCATATGCTACAGGAATTGAAGTTCTACAAGAGTGACTTTGAGTCTATCTTCTTGGAACACACGGTCGCTTATTATAAGCAAGAGTCAAATAGGCTCTTGAACACTCTCTCCGTTTGGGATTATATTCATCATGCGTATAAGCGTCAACAAGAAGAAACAGAAACGCGTATTAGCCATTATTTAAATATTCAAACAAAGCAGCCCTTGCTTAACGCAGTAACGGATCAACTTGTCTATCAAAACGTAAATGTCATACTCAATCGTGGATTTGAAGAAATGATGAATAAGAAAATGTACGATACCTTATCTACACTTTACGCTCTCCTGTTAAACAACTCAAATATGTCCTTACTGAGGGCTTCTTTTGGAGAATACGTCAAGGTAAAATAATGTTATCTTTCCTCATAAATGCTAACAACAACTCAAAGAACTATGGAGTTGCTTTGATCAAGGACCCTAAAAAAGATGCATCGATGGTAGCCTCTTTACTAGACTTCAAAAAGGAGTTGGATCAAATATTACAAAATTGCTTTCAGAATGATACCACATTTACTAATGCTCTGAAAGAAGGCTTTGAATACTTTATCAATACACGACAGAATAAACCAGCAGAGATGATCGCCAAGTATTTAGATACTCGCTTAAAGGCGCCTGCTAAAGTAAGGATTCAACAACATCATTTATATACTTATCATCCTCTTTTCATAGAAACAAGCTCGAACATCGGATGACGATGTCATGACAACGATTGATTATGTCCTCACACTCTTCCGTTTTGTTCAAGGTAATCCACTCTAGAAATAAGAAAAGAACGATACTCATGATTTATACAGGCAAAGACGCATTCGAGGCCTATTACAAGAGACACTTGGCAAAACGACTGCTGTTGGAGCGTAGTCTGTCGATGGAGGCTGAGTGTCAAGTAGTTGAAAAGCTAAAGAGTCAATGTGGCCATGAGTTTACAAAGAATTTTGAAACCATGTTGAAAGATATTCATGTATCTTATGATTTAGTTCAAGACTTTAAAGAAAAGTCGCAATATCCAATTCATGTAAAAGTAATCACTCAAGCTGTCTGGCCATCGTATTCAGCTACATCACTCACACTGTCCCCTGAGGTAAGATAAAGCGATTGGATTTAGGACATGGCTGACTTCTTTTGCTGTTAGATGATCAAGTGTCAGGAAGCATACCATCAGTTTTATGCCTCTCGTTTCAAAGGCAGAAAACTCATATGGCAAAACTCACTTTCCTCGTGCGTCTTGACAGCTCATTTCCCAAAGGAGACCAAAGAGCTCTCCATGAGTCTTCCTCAGGCAGCCGTCTTGTTACTATTCAATCGACTGGATAAGCCAACGTGGACAGTGAATGAAATAAAAGAAGCGACATCATTAGAAGACAGTGAATTGAGTCGAACCTTACTTTCACTTTCTACGGGATCTTATGCTGTCTTGATCAAGGTAGAAGGAGGTTCCGGACCATTGACAGGTACAGACACATTCCAATTCAATGCCGCCTTTGAGGCAGCAGGTGTTCGACTCAAGATTCCAGCTATTCAACAAGAACAGACAGTGGAAGAGAAAAGGGAGGTAGAATCAAAGGTGTTGGTCAACAGACAACATCAGTTAGAGGCTGCTATTGTAAGAATCATGAAGGCAAATAAGACCCTGTCACAAGAGGATTTATTGAACCAAGTGTTCCAGCAAGTGAGGTTTCCTGTGAATGTAAGTTTATACATGTATATTTATATGCGTATTAATACATTTATATATATATATATATATATATATATATATAAAGGTGACCGATTTCAAGAGAAGAGTGGAATCATTGATTGAACGAGACTATCTCATGCGTGATCCTTCAGATAACTCAATGTTTGTTTATCAAAGTTAAAATAAATTGGTTGTCAGCCAATATAGTCCTCCTTTTTTTTATAAATATAATAAAGCGAATGAGTGGACAGAAACTTACAGTGACATGTAATCATTCTTATTTTATTTTTAAGTGTGTTTACATTAGTTTTATTTAGATTGTGATGAATATGGTGTTTGGCCACTTGTCGCAGATGACCTTTCTGCAAGACTTCCACTTCGCAATTTGAAATGGCAGCCTTCCAGTCAACGAGCCGAATGCTTAATTTCTACATTAGAAGTTGACCTCAAACGATTCACACCTGATCCTTCACCTCTTCCTTTACCTTCTACAACACAGACAGTCTATTTGAACTTATATTTTGTTACCTGTGAGGTATACTTGCAAAGGAAAACACTGTTGTGTGTATTGTTACTGAAATTTTTTTTTAGGATAACGAAGTATACAAGACGCGCATACGAAAGAATATCAGGAGTTGGCTTGATCTAGTTCAGTCCAAAAAGATCCAGGAATGGCTTATTGTGTATGTAGCAGAGGCAGATACAAAGAGATCCAACAATTATTTGGGCCTCAAGTCTTCCATCTTTGATAAAATCCGTACAGACTTTAATCCTCCAAAACAAGATAGGTAAATCGAGCTCTAGAGCGTATTATAAGAAGGATTTAGTATAACTTTTTTCTCTCCTTTTGCCATTAGATGTGTGTTTATCAGAAAAAAAGACCCAGAGGGACCTCAGTCAGGATTATGGACAGCATTTATAGAAAAGATGAAGGAGTGTATTTTGTCTAGTTTCGATATGCAAGTATTACAGATTCAAGAGGATACAAGACGCTTAGACATGCAAAGACATATGCCAGGATGGAATTATTGTACATTTTTTATTCTAAAGGAAGGGCTAGCGCAAGCATTTGAGATCATGACACTGTATGAGGACGCGCTTATTCAATATGATGAGTTAGAAGCATCTTTTTTCCAAGTGCTCAAAGGTAAGTTTATATCCATAAAAAAAGGGGGCATGAATACTGAACTTTTTTGTCCCAGACAAGGCACTTGCTTGGTTTGGTCATTTTGGTGGTACAGACCCAGGGGATGACAGTGGCAATGTATTGGATTTTAAAAGAAAGAACTATAGAGACATGATCAACAAGAATATGATATCAGTGTTTGATTTCAGATGTTATCTGTTTGCAAGGCAATGTCGTATGCTACTCAAGATGCATAAAGTGATTGAAGTAACAGCACGAGCTCAATTGTTCATCACAAACTTTATCTTATCCATACGGGAAAATGAAAGCAATTTACCCGATAACTTTGTCGAATCTTGGGTCTTTTCGGCTTGCATGAATGTCGTCAATGAGTGTGAGGCATTGTCTGCTCAGGTCATCGCTCAACACCCTGAGTTGGCTGTATCTTACAATGCTGTGAAGGCTGATTTGCTGTTGACTGCGAGAAGACAGGTAAACATAAAGGCAGGATATATGGCATTATATTAAAACCTTTTTTTTTTTGTTCTAGCTTGACAAAATCGGTATTCGATGCAAACATCTTCCTATGACTGATCCTTTTTCCATCTATATCAATCATACTCTGGATGCACAACAAGAGAATGATAATGAAAAACCTGCGCGAGGTATCACCAACACGAAATTGATGGAGGCTATGCAGTCAGTAGAGGCATTTGACAAGACTTATATGGTATTTTATTATTATTAAATACTATGTTCTTATAGCTCACTTTATTTCAAAAAAGGGTCTTAGCACAAGAGCCATCAAAAGTTATGATGCCAGTTTTAGATCAAGAGCCGCCCTGAATGTACACGGGGATATAGCCGCTCTAAAATAGTAAGACAGGAAAAAAAAAAAAAGAAACAGTCGACTAAGTTTGGTATAGTATTCGTGGCAAGTACGAAGAAGCAGTGAGAATTTATGAATCAATGATTTGGAGATATGGGGAACAGGAATGGGGTTCCATAGAAAATAGCCTATTGATCAAATGTGCTGATTCTCAGAGACGACTTGGAAAGACTAATCAGTATGTAGAGTCTCTCTTGGCTCTACTGAGAAATGCAATCTTCCTTTCGGCAGAAGAGTCTTCCTTTTATACGGATGAACTCATTAACCATGTAGGAACACTGGATAAAGAGATCAAACGACCCTTTTCTCCCATCTTTTCTGTTCATGTCACGCGTATTATTGATGACCCAAACATAGTCGAGACCTCAAGTGTGGAAGTTTGTATCGATAATCACTTACCAAAGGTATGCATAGTATGAATACTAGCATCACACGCGTAATAACAAAAACTGGGGGTTGTTTAGAAAATAGGTTACGATACTATCTCTTTGCGTCTAGTGGGAAATGATCCAGAACAGATATCCTATACAATACATAACAAAGACTTACTTCCTGGCAAGAACATCTTTTTACTAACAAGCGACGTATGTGTTGAGGGGATGTTATCATTACTGCATTCTAATTTCTTTTTTCCTTTTTGGAACAGACCTCAGTTTCTGGAAACTATGTTGTAGAAACGTGCGAGATGAAGCTAGGCAAATTGATATTTAGTCACAACTTCCTTCACGCTGGACAAAAGAAAAGAATAGTCAGATTAAACCATGACATTAAGCAACTTTATGCTACTGCATCCCAGCCAAATGAAAGTAAGATAGTATTATAATCATTGAAAGCGATCAACTTACCACTTGTCTAGTTTGCTTGGGTGAAAGACAAAAGGTTTCTGTAAAGATCACTAGCCGTGAAGTAAAGACAACTCGTGGTCTGTTACTGTTAGAGTCACAGACAGAAGGAGTTCAAATAGTGAATATGCCAAAAGTGACGAGCGTCCTTCACTCGGATGGTATATAACCTCCTTGTTATGATACTGTTGTACTTACTATTTTTTACTTTTAGGCAACGTAAAGGAAATGCAATTGGATGTACTCGAAACAGGAGAAATCGTGTTGATTGATTTAGAGCCAAATCAGCTACTAGAGATATTTATAGTATATGACGGGCCATATACCGAGTTTGATTATAGAGTAAAGAAAAAAACAAAAGAAAAAGAGATATACACAAGTATTATTTAGACTAATTTCTTTATTAAAAGGTAAAGACAACAATTACTTATGAGATAAATGGGATGCTACGAAAATTCATATCATCTGATTTCATCAGAGTAACAGTGCCATTATTGGTTACTGAATCAACCATATTTAGAGAGACATGGTAAGAAGAAGAAAACAAGGGCGTTTAAGTGATCATCTAATACCCTTTTGTAAGTGTATTCTTAAAGGTTGAACTTTCTTGTAATGGTGAGTTACCTGTTCGTATATTTGGTTCACATGCAAAACCATCAACCTATTACTTGGTGGAAGGTGAATCAAAGTTATCCAGCTGTGATATGGTACGTTGAGGCGTGTTATTAGTATTTTAAACTAATATTTACTTTAGACACTGTTCCCGAGACAAACAGTAACATTTATATACAAGCTTGTCAAAAGATCAACCGATGGAAAAGATTCTGGTAAGTACAATCATTTCTCTAATTGAAAATAATAAAGATACCAAGATGTGTAATATTTGTAGAGATCGATAATCAAGTAAACTCCAAGATTCATTTCACTGTGAAATTTCTCTCATTGAAAGATGGTAAGACGAATACGTGGCCATGTTGATACTTTGTAGGCTTAGCTATTGTTTAGAGGTTGAATCTAGCTTGAGAAATATGCTCCAACAAAAGTTAAAACAACATACACTAGATCAGCATTTACCCTATGTTTTTGAAAAAACCAAGGAAGAATTTTTGAAATCTGTTGATTATGTGGGCTATGGACTGACAGATGTTGTACAATTGAATGATTTTGATGCGGAATTATGCGAATCATTTTTGTTGCACAGAGATTTGAAAACAAAAGTAGAACTTTTAGACTTGATTGAGGAGTTCTTTGAGGTAAATTATAATAATCAAAGAGAATCCATTTCTTATTCTTGAATTAGGAAAATGTAGCAGTTACAGCTCAAACGATTAAACAACACTCGACTAGTTTAAATTTACATTCAATCACCTTTCCTTTAGAAGTACCAAAAACCAAGGTATACAGTTGTGTCTACAATAGAAACTTTATATATATATATATATATATATTCTAATTATGTTAGATATTGCATACTGCTGAGCTGATATTACCACCAAAGAAAGATTTACTCGTAACAGAGGCATATCCTTGTATATTACGCATTAAACAGTCAACTTACTGGAATACATCAGCTACAGATGAAGAGGCACATAAGGATGAATTCTGCTACGATATTGATGTGGACTATGAAAACTGGTTATTGTCTGGAAAGAGACGATTACGCTTTGTATCTAAACCAGGAGAAGTCAATGAATTCTCTATAAGTCTGGTTCCTCTTAGGACAGGTAATTTACTCTTACCTTCTGTCCGTGTATCTGCTGTATCACCAGAAATATTTGCATCGACAGTTTATTTGAACAGTGCTCAACAAATCTTGGTAAAACCAAAGTCAAGAACTGCCACATTTTTTGTAGAGCAGCAACAACGATTTATTCAGCCGAGCAGTCAAGGATCATTCAGTACAGTTTTTTAAACTTTATACAGTGTTAACATTCGATCATATATAAAAGAAGAATTACTAAAACAGGAAATCCTTTATGCATATAATTGTTGATTGGCCAATATGAGTCATTTCCATTTTTGTTGAAAAGAAGGTTGAACTAAATTTTTATAAAAGTGCCAATTCTTTTTTTTTCCTTCTATCTTTTTCTCTTTCTCTCTTTTGCTTCTTTTTTTTCTTTGATCCTTTAATCAATAAAATCGAGAAAGAAAGAAAGAAAGAAAACAAACAAACAAACAAAGCAAAAGAAAAGAAGGATATTACTTTGTTGTTTTGAATTATTATTAAAAACTTTTTTTTATTCTGGATTGGGCAAATTAATTATAAATAAAAATGGAGCAAATTGAACAAGCTGTCATGTATGCTTTAGGTCCTCAAGTGGATCCAAACTTGAAGGCCCAGGTAAATTATGAGTTTTTTTTTTTTTTTTCTCTTTTGTTCTTCCTTTCCATTGATTATCAATTTTTTTTATTTTAGGCAAATGCTTATTGTGAATCTATAAAGAATTCTCCTGATGGTTGGCAAGTCTGTTTGGAATTATTCATGAAGGAACCTAAAGCGTAAGTAAAAAAAACAAAAAAAAAAAACAAAACAAAACAAAAATTGAAATGTTTATAAATTAATCAACCCATGTGCACGCGTTCTTTAGGCTTCCTGAAGCAAGATTCTTTGCACTTCAAGTACTAGAAAATACACTTCAAACTAGGCAAGTATACACATATATACATTTATAGTCAAGAATGTCAATTAATGTATACAAATATAGATTTGACACACTAGACTCTAATGCTGTAGATTATATTCGACGTAATATGATGGAGTATCTTGGAAGAGAGTTTGTTGACAACAATAGTGCAAGCAATGAAGAATCATGTACAAAAGGGACACTTTCTTTTTTATCATAATCACTAACATGCACTTTTTTTTCTATAGTCATTCGAAACAAGGTTGCTCAATCACTCACACTCTTATTCATCCATGTATACCCTACTATTTGGCCTACTTTCTTCAAAGACATGATGGCGCTCACAAAAGCACCTACGGGAGGCAGTCATGAGAAAGCAGCAGATTTCTTTGTTCGATTATGTATCAGTATTGATGAAGAAATTGCTCGTTTGGATATTCCTCGTACCCGCCAAGAAGTGATTCGAAACACAAATATTAAAGATACAATGCGTATGGGCGACGTTCAACTGCTTGCCTCTTATTGGTTTGAGTTATTGCAAGAATTTAGATCAACAAATGCAAACATCGCTCAACTGGTATTGAAAAACATTGGCTCTTACATTGCTTGGATGGATATTTCATTGGTTGTCAATGACCAGGTGATGAATGTATTGTATGAATTACTCGGGGATGCTAATTTGCGTATTCCTGCTTGTGAATGTCTTGCAGACGTTATAAGTAAGGGTATGTTACCAATGGATAAGCTGAATATGATTCAAATGCTCAACATTGTGGATGTACTCGCTAGATTGGATTTGGTAAGCTAAACATTTTTAATGAGCAAAGAGAGACTGACATCTTCCCAGTCTGAGCCAGAGTTTGTAGAATATGTAGCTCGACTTGTCAATGTCTTGGGCACAGAACTATGCAAGATATATACAGAGACTTCACTCCCAACAGAAGGAAAGGCTGCTGCTTGGGCTATGATTGAACAAATGACGCCTTATTTACTCAAATTTTTGGCTAATGAATACGATGATACATCATCTGCTGTATTCCCTTTTGTCAACGATATGCTTTATATCGTAAGTAAACTTATAAACATCTCTTTCATTTTTACTTATTTTATGTTAGCTCAAAAAACAAAAGAAGCAGATGCAAGCATTTTCTCAAGGTCAACACGAATTTTTGGGCTCTTTACTTAACGTTGTTATCATGAAGATGAGATATGATGAAGAAACTGACTGGGGAAATGATGAAGACGAACCTGAGGAAGAAGCTCTCTTTTTTGAAATGAGAAAGGTAAATGTTCAAAAAGAGTAAGAAAAGCAATATTTAAATGTCATCTTTTGCTCTATAATAGAACTTGCGCATCTTTACTGAACACATTGCTGCAATCAACGAAGAGCTCTATGTTGGTTTTATTCACTCATTTGCGATGGACATAATGAATAAATACAAAACAGGTACTGAGTTAGATTGGCGTGATGTTGAATTATGCCTTTATGTACTCTATTGCTACGGTGAGGCATTATCTAAAGCTTCTATGGTTTTTGTAAATGCCAATGACACATTGACACCATTGGGTGAACTTATATCCGAAATGGTTTCCTCAAGTAAGTTTTATTATTATTGCTATTTAAAATTATTTTCTTATGCTTTCGTGTAGATATTTCTGCCTATCCTCACCCTTCAGCACCCTTACAGTACTTTGAAAACATCGCTCGTTACTATCAATTCTTTGAACACCGACAAGATCACCTTCCTCAAGCATTATCTGCCTTTGTTGATCATCGTGGCCTTCATCACCCACTAAAGCAGATTCGCACTCGTTGCTGGTATCTCTTTCACCGTTTTGTAAAGAACCTGAAATCACGTATGGGACCTTATGTGGAACATGTTTTGTCATCTATTGGTGATTTATTAGCGATCCAGGCCGAGCCTGTGGTGGAGACAAACACAATGGATGGAATGCCGATCCCTGCAGCTTCTACATTTGACAGCCAACTATACCTGTTTGAAACAGTGGGGTTATTGATTTCTTTGGAAGGAAATAATCCAATGAAACAAACAGAGTATCTCAAGATTGTATTAGAGCCTTTAGTAGAAGGAATTCAAAAGTCATTATCACAGCCATCTGATGATGAATTATTCATGCTCCAATTACACCACTACATTATGGCCATTGGTAGTGTAGCCAAGGGATATCCTTCCTTGGATAAGCCTTCAGAAATACGCGAGCCCTGGACGCTTGTATTTGTTCAAGCAACCGAAATCATTCTGAGCGCTTTGCAAGCATACAGTCAGGCTCTCGTGATTCGTGATGCGGTGCGCTATGCATTCGCACGCTTGATTACCTGTTTAGGTTCTCAGGTCTTGCCTTATCTACCTAGTCTAATCAACGGTCTGTTGACAGAATGTCAAGTGACAGAACTAGTAGACTTTTTGCCTTTCATAGGCCTTGTGGCACACAAATACAAGCCAATGGTTGAACCGATCATGGATGAGCTTTTGGTACCTCTTGTGAAACGTGTCTTTGACTTCTTGAACACAGCACCTTCGGGTACGGACGAGGCTGTCCTTCTGCTCGATCTTCGAAAGGCCTATTTAAACTTTATTACGAACCTATTCAACGCCAACCTAGAAAGAGTGTTTATTAGTGAACGCAACTTGGAACATTTGAATACCATTCTACAGACGGTATTACATTTTGCAAAGGATAACTCGGATCCAACAACACAAAAAATGTCATTTGGTGTATTCCTCAAGATGGTCAATTCCTGGGCTAACAATCATCCTGGATTTGACATATTTGTATATAACGAATTGATACCGATCACTTTCTCAGTACCTATGAGTGCGGCATTTAATCTATCTGATGGACAGTCGATTTTGGTATTTGGAGAGATTACAAGTATCCAAAAGGCAATGTGTGTAAAGCAAGGGGCTAAATTTATTGAATACATGAAGACTGTTTTCTTTCCGTCCATTCAATGCCCACCCGAGACAGCAGAGACATACTGTCAAGCAGTCCAACAGTACGATGGAAAGCAATTTAAAAAGTACTTTCAGGTAAGCTTATTTCCTTCTAGTATACAGCATGCACTTATGTCTATATTCTAGTCATTTATTACAGAAGCTAAACGTTAAATTAATAATATAAAAAGTCAATTGTTAGAATGTAAACACACAATGTCTATTAAAAGATTTTAAAAAAGTATATAAAATATTACATACTTCTAGACCCAAATGATGCTTTTCATAATTACTTTTGGATTATAAATGAGGGACTGGAGTCAATAAAGTGTTCATTTTCTAGTTTAATAATTTATGACGTGAGATACTCTTCTTGATGACTTTACTAATAAATCATCTTGACAGTACTCTATCTTTTCTGCATAGTAATCTTCAAAAGTGCTTGCCTTCTGGCCTGTTCAATTTCCACTTCAAGAGATACAGCTTTATTAAAATAAAAGCAAAGCAAGTGTCATTGAACTTTTGATTAGAACATTTTTCCTTTACTGAAATGAGTCAACATTAAACTTGATCATGAATAAAACGAACATCAAGGGCATGCGCTGTTGTGTCTACAAGTAAAGTATCCATGACAACAGTAATTATAAGATCGACAAAATAAATACATTTGGTCAACTAAATGACAACATTTGTTACTACAGTGATAAGCTACTCTGTCATCACTTTACTCCCCCCTAAGACTTATTGAGTCTCTTTTTCTTTCTTTCTTGTTATTCTTCTACTATTTTATCTTCATATAAGGCTTATTTTTATCCATCTCATGCATTCATGCATTTATATTCTTTTTCATAGTTATAAAAACTTCTTTTCTCATCATCCAATAAATCACATATTTGAAAATACCCTTCATTCACTATATGCGAGTATCCATGATAATAAAGTCATTAAGTGAAGTATGTCACGTACCTTAACAAGCCATTCTGTTTCGAGCGCCATTTAAAATAGCTTATGCAGACTTAGAAGATCCATTGCTTTACTATAAAAGTGAACGTATAGTCATTAAATCTCTCACAATTATAATCGTCGCCAATTTTGGTCTACACTTCACAAGCAGAAGAGAAAAGGATAAGGTCATAACAACAGAAAAGAGAGGATAAACATTTTACCTTTTTTTCATGTGCACTAAAAATAAAAACAAAAAAAATTACAGATTCTTATGCTTTCCTAAGCCAGCAACTCAATCGCCTATGTTTCATACTTGATAAACAGGTTTTGATACATAAGGGTTAGGACGATTTGTTTTTGGTTCTTTTTAGCAAAAAATAGTAATTCATTATTACTTTTATGAAACAAACCAGAGTGGCTAACCAAATAGATCAATCATGATTGATTTTCTTTCTTTGATTGACAAATAACAACTGTAATGGAATCAATTGCATGTGTTCCACAGAATCGGCAGCCTAGTGCTCTTTGAGAAAAGCCTTATTTTTTGTTTACTATCAGCTGCATCTTTAAAGATGCCGTCCCCTCTCAACTTTTTTCCTTGTATATTTAATTCTCACCTTACTTTTTTTTTTTTTTTACTCATTCTTAAAGAAAACGACCAGAAAAATAGGAAAACGCGTATTGAAAATAAGAAAAGTGAAGCAATCATAATAAAAAAAAATTATGTGTGTGTGCGTGAGGTCAACTTTATGTAAACAAGCGGTCTTACAAAAGAAAAGGGCCTGTGAAAAAAATATGCAAAAAAAGGGAGGAGGCGTTCGGATGCTCGGATGTGTTCTAATATGGAAGAGATAAAGAATAAACTATTTATTTATTCATACTTTATTGGAGAAATGAGGAATAAGTCACTTACTTTCAGCCTAAACAACATGATTCACGTAAACAAAAAACTATAAAAGAGATCATTCTTTTTCTTTTTTTTTCTTTTCTTTTCTTTTCTTTTCTTTTCTTTCTTTCTTTCTTTCTCTTCATTCTTTATCTCTTTCAAAATCCTCTTATGCTTTTATTATTTCTTATGTTGAAATGGTATAACAACGTTTAGATGGTCTCAAAGTGTATATAACTAATGCCGTCGTTTAGAAAATTCACTTTTGCTGGCTCTATTTCATGGTTCCTGATGCATCTTACTCTATCATAATGACCTCTCACGGGCTGAAGCCTTAAAGAAATCTCTGCTGTTCGCTAGTACTCCAAAAGTGCTTGCTACTGCTTATCAATACACTCAAACGATCAAACGATCAAATACTCAAACAGATACTCAAATACCTACTCATGCTTATCAAATCTCTGGAAAGAGCAGTGAATGCCTGCTCATGCTTATCAATGTCTACAAATGATCATCAGTGCCTGAAAATGCTAGTGAATGCCTGTCCCATGCTTATCAACGTCGGAAAGCCCCTAAAGAATTTTGCTCACGTCTATCAATGTCTGCTACTAATGAATACTGCTTTGGAGCAACTACATATTCAAGTCCTGAAGCTACAAGAAACATAATCAATCAATCTACTTTGCCACTATCCGCCAAACTATATTAAACTCTGCTACAAGAAAAGAAGAAGAAAAAACAAAAAAAAAAAACTAACCAGACAGGTCATTACTTCTCTATGCTGGATCACCCTAAGATGCTTCTATTGTTATGGCTCTGCCTCTACAGCTGATGAATGGCCCGTAAACCCTCCCTTGCTGCTGAGCTCGATGGTTGCGATGCTCCAAAGGTTCAATATTCCGATGTCTCCACGGTCATCACCCCTTTCGAAATGCTTCGTCCTAGGTACTTAGAAGTGCACTCTTTGTACGTTGAAGCACCTCTTTCGTTGAACTTACCGTGGTATGGTTTTGAGATTGACTTTTTATTTTTGAGTTTTGAGCCTTGAGTGCTCCTTATTCATGAAGGGTTTACACCGTGTAGTCTTCTGGCATGCAGTCTATGGTTCTAGTCATCTTGGGCTTGAAAGCTAGCGATAATGTGGCTTTCTGGACTTATGGAAAGAAAAAAAAGAAGAAATCTCTATTTGCTCTCTAAACTTGGCTATCAAAACAAAAGTCTCCACTTGCTCTCTTAACTTGGCTATCAAAAGAAAAATCTCTACTAATTCAAAACTCTCTCCCTCTCTTTGGAAATCAAACTATTGCTTACTTTAATAAAAACTTCATTCTATTACTCCTACACTTTGACTTTTTGTTTTTTAATCTTAATAAAATATATTCACTTGACGCACTTTTCTTTATTTCTGATAATCCAAGGAAACAGCAGTTTAATGATTGCTTCATATGCACCATTATGAAGTAGCTTGTGGCAACAATCACTACATAATCTCACATAGGTAGCTCTCATTAGTGACATGCTATATATTAATATCAGTCTATGCTATACAAACTTACAGACGTTCTTCTAGGCTCAGATTCATATCCATGTATCGTCTTTGAGCATTATGTCATCGAGCTCTTTTCATTGACGCAACGCATTTCTTGTATATTAGATCTTCACTTAAATATGTTGATGATCTATTGGGAATACGAAAAAGGTATCCTTCTGTACCTTCACTACCAAAAGATGGGCTCTCCTTGCTCTATATTTTCTTATTTGGCACATCTCCTTGCGGAATTGAAAAGTGGTCCCAGAAAGCATAGGACATATTTATGACGAAACTGCAGGTGGTTCATCTCCCAGTTGTACTTTTGTGTCATGGTTCATTATAAACTCATGTATAGTATTAGTGCCTCAATATTTCAAGCTGATTCTTTTTTATCATATTACATTTCTTCTACTTTTATATAAATACCCTCATTTATTTAATCAATTGTCACAGTATTCTTATTGTCCTTAGACTATTCATCTATTCCCTTTTCTCCATTCACCTATACTTACCGCCAATCATTTCGCTCTTACCTCATAAGTTCTACTCTCTGTAGATCAATCTTCAAGTCTTTAGCACTACTCTCTCCAGCGTTCTAGTCCCTGGCCCGGTGCGTTCATCCTCCCCCCTCCTCTCCCTTCCTAGCTGAAAATACAGCACATCACAAAATTGTAACGCAAATAGAATCGCCGTCAGCTCTCGAACATTGACAGAATGTTCTTTCCTTCTTTTATCCAAAATTTGGGCGCTTTCATTACTCTGGATGCGATCCTCCCTATCCTGTATCCAAGGCTTCGGTATAAACTCTTAGGCCCAGTTTCTGCAAGATCCTTGGAGGTATCCAAATCAGGGTGCCTATCCTTCATTCTGCTTGTTGGGTTCACCAGGCTAATTCCTCTTTCGTAGCCTCAAACAATGTACACAGACTTTCTTCCAATCATATGTATGTCTTGACCAAAAAGCACACATATTGTCTAGGCAATATATTATCCATATACCTCGATTAATTTCTGTAATGCCAGAATACTCTCCCTTCTTCCCTTCATCTTGAAATGGTGGAAATTTCTCTATAGCTTCGTCCACTGTTTTGTTGAGTCACTTGGTGATAAGCGGAAAGATCTCAATCTCCCATGGCCTTGCATCTTCTTTTCCATTATCATGGAAGCATACTGTTTTATTACGCAAAGGTTAAAAATAAAATACGTGCGAAGGAGACGACATGCAAGTGAGAGTAATAAGTACCAAAGAAAGAATATAAAGAATTATACAGTTAGTTATGTAAGAAAATTATTACATACAACTTACCCCGAAGGCATCTAGATGTGTCCTAGCGATAACTAGGACGGAGAATCATCGTCTAAACGTATTCTAGTTCTTGGTTGCTCCTGATCGTTCACTCTTCTTCGACGTCTTGTATGAGCAACAGCAGCCCGGTGAAACCTATAAGGAACCATGCCATTACGTCGAAGCTCACGAAGGATGTGCATGTAGTTGAGGCAAGCAGCAACATCCCTGTTCCAAAAGCAATATCTATCTGGAGCTGCCATGGCGGGTCTACAGTATAGATTGGCGCATCTACAAGCAATGTTTAATCAGTATAAAGTCATACAAGTGGTTCATGTGTTATTACCTTAAAAGGCCATGGCAGACAACAGTAGGATATCGCTCACGTTGATACGGTCATGGATTTGGAACATGACGGAACGTGTGGAGGATCTCGTTGTGGCATGTTGGACAGCACCTACTGGTCTTGTACTCGTCTATAAGATAGACTTGTAACCCATGTTTCTTGAGGAGTCTTCGGAAACCAAGGCCACGGATGGGCTCATGATACCTAGCATGGGGAGCGGACCAGTTTCCCATCACAAACACGGCGTCTTCTCCAAACTTAGCGCGTAAGTCTTGAATAAGCTTTTGATCGGCACGTTGTCTGTTGAAGTACGCTGAAAGACGGATCTTGCGAAAGAGGGGGTATCCATTATCATGGTTTGTGATGGTATGTCCATAGAAT